GGGGGGGGGGGGGGGGGGGGTGGGGGGGGGGGGGGGGGGGGGGAAGTGATCCAAGGCAGGAGATGATGTAGATTGAAGAAGAGTTGGTGTTCCGCCCGGGCCGAAAACAGGACTGAGTAATGCCCGTACCTGGACGGCCCGAAAACTTCCCCTCTCTGGGAACCGATTGAATATTCCCTCGGTGGCCGATTTTCGTGGGCCATGTTCAAGAAGGCCCGTGACGGAGAGGGACCACTGGGGGGATCTGGCTCCTTACATGTACCATAGTGATTTGGACGGGATGAAACGGGGAGAATGATCATCCCTCTATATCCCGATCTTTCCAATATAAAAGCGGCATCGTCCCATTTTGATGTTGAAGAAGAACGTCTTGCTGATTGGATTGCCAATGTCTGCATATGTAGGACGGTGTGAGAGTGTCTCTGGCAGTCACTCCGATTACCGATTCGGTTTCGTATGAGACCCGATATCAACACTTGTTGGAGATATAGATAGATGCCTTGGGCCGGCTCATGAATGCTCGTTTTGATTGGTCGAGCGTGGTCGAATTGCGAGTTTCCAACGTCGGAAACCTTTGCCCTTTTGGGAGCCGGCGGAGAACTGGCGATAAGCCCGGGGGCGGTCCCGATTTCCGGCGTCTCGACAGGTTCTTCCCCCCCTCCTGATGCGGGGTCTGACATGTCTATACAGATCCTTGATCACTACCTTTCTTGAGATATCAAGTCGATTCTATTATCATCAATTGAATGGTTGTAGCTGGTATTCTTTCTGTAGAGCCCTACCATCGACTATCTTCTGCATGGTTCTCTTCGTGGCTCTGGTGGGGACGGAAACGGGCCGTCTTGCGATGCTTTCCCGAGACCATCGGTAGATAGCTGGATAGCTCGATAGCTCGGTAGCTGCAGTAGATAGCTTGAAGCTCTCGACATTTCCAAGATAGAGACAGCAACAAGATTGCCAACGCATTCAATTGGCCAATGACCCAAATTATAACGATCGGAGATCCAATATCCCCACAGAAAAGAAACCGGGCGAGTCGGGCCAGCCAGCCGTTGGAGACGGGCCCCTCATTCTACTTCGCTCTCCTCACCATCTCCTCCTCTTTCTAAGGTGTTCCCATACTGAATTCTTGCAGTCCACCCACCTCCTCAGGACTCTCTCCCCCCCACTCCCCTCATTGCCTGCGTTGCTCCACTCCCCTCGCAAACTGCGCGCCCTTCAAAACCCGTCACTCGTCCGCTTTCCTTTTCTTCCCGCTTTAACCTCCAACCTTCTTGGTGAGTCTTTTCTCCGTGTCTTGCCCCCCCCCCCCCCCCCCCCCCCCCCCCCCCCCCCCCCCCCCCCCCCCCCCCCCCCCCCCCCCCCCCCCCCCCCCCCCCCCCCCCCCCCCCCCCCAACCTCCGCCACTTCCCGCCGACTTTCGTCACTAATCATCACCACCTCCTATAGTATTGTGTGGGACGAGATAACTCTACCTTTTCTCATCATACAATCATGGCCAGCACCGTAGGAAAGGTACAACTCCTCTATACTTTTGATTGTACAAGATTGATCATCAAACTAACAATGCCTGCTAGACCATTACTTGCAAGGTAAAGCTTTCTTTTTCCGATCTCCGCCGCGCGCAATGACGTTGGCAACCGCAACCCCGCGCTACACCAAAAATGCGCGCGCGCGGCCGCAATATACCCCCGCCATTCATTGCACCGACAAGGAATCTTTGGAGAACTAAAATCTAATTGAATTGTTTTCTCGTAGGCTGCCATCGCCTGGGCTGCCGGTGAGCCTCTGTCCGTCGAGGATGTCGAGGTCGCTCCCCCCAAGGCCCACGAGGTCCGCATTCAGATTCACCACACTGGTGTCTGTCACACCGGTAAGCCCCGCGATTAACCCCGCCATGCTCGAAACAATGTGAAAAGGCGACACGGTCAAGAGATGAAGCGGATGTACTGACGATGGTCTGATTAGATGCCTACACCCTGTCCGGTAAGGACCCGGAGGGTGCTTTCCCTATCGTCCTGGGCCACGAGGGTGCGGGTATCGTCGAGTCCGTCGGCGAGGGTGTGACCTCCGTCAAGCCCGGTGACTACGTGATTGCTCTCTAGTAGGTTTCCACCATTCTCTCTGCATAGCCCTGCCTCTGCACAGCTCGCAGCTGCCGTGACCCTCATCACTCACCCATGATATAGCACCCCCGAGTGCCGTGAATGCAAGTTCTGCAAGTCCGGCAAGACCAACCTTTGCGGCAAGATCCGTGCTACCCAGGGTAGGGGTGTCATGCCCGACGGCACCTCCCGCTTCAAGGCCCGCGGCAAGGATATCCTGCACTTCATGGGTACCTCGACCTTCTCCCAATATACCGTCGTCGCCGATATTTCGGTCGTCGCGGTGACCCCCAAGATCGCCACCGACCGCGCCTGTTTGCTGGGCTGTGGTATCACCACCGGTTACGGTGCGGCCGTCGAGACCGCCAAGGTCGAGGAGGGCTCTAACGTGGCCGTCTTCGGTGTCGGCTGTGTCGGTCTGTCCGTCGTCCAGGGTGCTGTCAAGAACAAGGCTGGCATGATCATTGCCGTCGACGTGAATGATGGCAAGGAGGCCTGGGCTCGCAAGTTCGGTGCTACCCACTTTGTCAACCCTACCAAGCTCCAGGGCAAGACTATCCAGGAGCACCTGATTGAGATGACCGATGGTGGTTGCGACTACACCTTTGACTGCACTGGTAACGTCGGTGTGATGCGTGCTGCCCTCGAGGCCTGCCACAAGGGTTGGGGTGAGAGTATCATTATCGGTGTCGCTGCTGCTGGCCAGGAGATTTCCACTCGCCGTAAGTTTGGACCCATTCCTCGACTCGCACGTTTTGCTTTCTGATACTAACCGGTCCCTCTTCTTCTAGCATTCCAATTGGTTACCGGTCGTGTGTGGAAGGGCTGTGCCTTCGGTGGTATCAAGGGTCGCACCCAGCTGCCCGGTCTCGTGGACGACTACCTGAACGGCAAACTCAAGGTGGACGAGTTCATCACCCACCGTGAGCCCCTCTCGGCCATCAACACTGCCTTTGAGCAAATGAAGGCTGGCGACTGCGTTCGCTGCGTGGTGGATATGAAATAGACTTGTGATATGTGACGTAGTTGATGACGATCCCAAAAAGGCTCGATGTGAAATTATGAATTCCCTTTTGTTGTGATGAACCCGATGTTGGGTTGAGATTGATGAAAATATTGTAAACTTTGTCATCCCACTGGAACCAAATTGTGGAAGGGATGTGAAATGATTTTAGTAGAAATTGAAAAGTCCGCAAGGTCCTCATCCCAGGCACCTTGGGGGTTTGGCATGACCATGAACCAAGTCAATCACCTCTCCCTCGTACGTTGTGCCACACATCACTGAAGAGATCAATCGACCTAACCAGATCCGATTCCAACCTCTCTATCCAACCCTATCACACCATTGATAGTCCGCGGAGGACACACCCAACTCCGACGCCTTGAATACTAAACTAACATTCCATATCAAGATCAGCACTACGTGCGCTTACTATCGGTACCAACACCGATACGAGGCCACCAGTTTCGATCCTGCACTCCTCACAATACACCGGAAATAGTGATCATCCCCCGATAACTACAGGGGCAGAGAGCAGCAAGCCAGTGATTCGATAGCGGCCAAAGTCCGCAATTCCCCACCTTTCTCCGCAGTGATGCGATAAGGCCATACATCACCTCCTCGATTTCGGGAAAAGCTCGGCAGGTGGATTGATACCCGTACTTTGCTGTACTTGGTACTTGCAACGGCGGGATGATGGCGCTTGGAATTGGGGTAGGTGGACTAATGAGGTGATCTTTCCAGTGTACAGGGTACATCCCTAAGGGGGGTTGGAGGAGCGGGGGGCTACTCCATAGTGCGAGTTGCATGCTGGCGTGTTAACATGTCTTGCGTGGTGGATTTGTCCTTGTGGATATTCATCTCGACGGAAGATGGCCGGTAGATTTAGATTGACAGATAGGAAGAGGGGAGAAAAGAGGAGGGGGCGTGTGTATATAAAGGAGTCCTTGATTTCTGCTGCGAGGGTTTACTCCAAAGATTGAGTGTTCCAGTCTCATCCATCCCGGGATCCTGTGCTTCTATACTTCAAAGACTTTTCTTTCCTCATATCCCAAGCAAGACTATATCAAACCTACACCTTCAAATCCACAATGACCATCCCTCCTACTACTACAACCGATCCTCTCCCCCTCCCATCCCCCTTCTCCACCATCCCCCGAACCCCCCTCCTGCTAGGCCCCTCCCCCATCCACGCCCTCCCCCGCATAACCGCCGATCTCGCCCTCAACAACCCCCACCCCCCAGTAACCATCTACGCCAAGCGCGACGACCTCAACTCCGCCTACGCCTACGGCGGCAACAAGACCCGGAAACTGGAGTACCTGCTCGCCGACGCCCTCGCCCAGGGCTGCGACACGCTCGTCTCCATCGGCGGCGTCCAGAGCAACCATACCCGCCAGGTCGCCGCCGTCGCAGCGCGGAGCGGCCTCAAAGCCCGACTCGTGCAGGAGCACTGGGTCGAATGGGAGGATAAGGGGTACGAGGCCGTGGGCAACATCCAATTGTCCAGGCTGATGGGCGCAGACGTGAGACTCGATCCGTCGGGGTTTGGCATCGAGCATAAGAATACCGTGCAGGCCGTCGTGGACGAGTGCAAGGCTGCGGGTGAAAGGCCATACTACATTCCGGCGGGGGCATCGGACCATCCACTCGGCGGACTGGGATTTGCGCGGTGGGCGTTCGAAGTCCGGCAGCAGGAACGGGAAATGGGTGTGTTCTTCAACACGGTGCTTGTCTGCGCCGTGACGGGGTCCACTTTTGCGGGCATGATTGCTGGCTTCAAGTTACTCGAGAAAATGTACCCCGATGATCCCAAGCGCAAGGTTATTGGGATCGATGCCTCGGCGACGGTGGAAGCCACTCGGGCGCAGGTGCTTCGGATTGCGCGCAACACTGCGGCCCAGATTGGGCTGAAGGAGGAGGATATCACGGACGAGGATGTGATTCTGGATGACAGGTATCATGCGGGGATTTATGGGGTCCCTGATCGAGAGACCTGGGAGGCGATTGAGTATGCGGCTCAGATGGAGGCTTTCATTACGGATCCCGTGTATGAGGGGAAGAGTTTTGCGGGTATGGTGGACATGATTCGGAAGGGGGAGATTGAGGGGGGAAATATTTTGTATGCTCATTTGGGTGGCCAGTTGGCTTTGAATGCGTATTCGGAGCTTGGTCATGTTAAGGAGGAGTAGGGGGAGGGTGAGGATGGATGTAGCAAGTCGCTCATGTGACGACGGTACTATGACTACTCTTGAGTATTTGGCAATAACATTATTTGAGAAAATCAATTTCAAAAGTTTGCATTGCTATTAACGAGCGACTACGGTGAGTGTAGTGGTCAAGTTAGACCAGGACTAACAGTCCTGCTTACAGCAGCTTGTGCTCCAGAGTCATCTCCGACTCGGGCTGGAGACCAACGCAAGCACGGAAGATGTTGATCAGAGCAGAGCGCTGCTTGCCCAGAGCGTTGACGACCGGGGTACCGGGAGGAGTCAGAGGAGCCTTGAGCATGTAGCTGAGCACGCTCAGCACGCTGTGGAAGCCCTTGTACTCGGCACCCTCGCCATCAGCCTTCCAGCTGACACGGGTCATCATCTCAGCAAGCACCACCAGATCGATGATCAGGGGGGACGCAAGGAGAGAGTCCTCGCAAATGTTGAACAAGCTGATGGTCTGGTGACCACCCATGAAGATCTCGGCGTAGTACTCATCCAGAGCACGCTTGTTGTCACCAACGGCGGGCATGTACTTGATGACGACGGTGTGGTCCGGGTGCTCGTCCTTCTCGTAGAGAATGTGGTTGGCAGCAACCATGTCATCCACGACGTTGGACTTGGAGATCTCCTTGGAGCGGAACTGCTTCTGCGAGCTCAGGTTCTTGCCATCGTTGTTACCCAGGTGGTTGTAGCTGGCAATGGAGGTGAGCTTGATACCGGCGTTGATCAGGAAGTCGACCAGGGCGGACTTCATCTTGGTCTGGCCAGACTTGAAGTCGTCACCACCGATGAAGGCACCACGCTGCTCGGCGAACTGGAGAGCACCGGGAACAAAGGTGTTCTGGGGGGAGCCGTTGATGAAAGGAGCGTTCTCCAGAATGGAAGCAATGGCGAACACGGTGGAGGGGGAAACCTCCTCGTGACCATTCTTGATCGAGTTGATCAAGTTCTCGGCAGTGTCGTTGACACCGGGGAGGATGTCAGCGTAACGCTCAGTGTTGGCAGTCCACATGACAATGACCTTGTCAAGGTCGTTGTTGGCCTTGAAGTCGCTGTAGATGAAAAAAAAAATTAGCAAAAGGACACGAACATTAAGAACGGTCTATCAAAGTACTCACCGAATGTCCTTCTGGATCTGCTCAACGTGAGCCCAGCTGGCCTTGGTGCCCTCAAGGACATTGTCGGCACGGTCCTCCTGGTTGGCGGCGATGAAGTCCGGGTAGTAGATGGAAGGCAGGGGCTTCATCTCGGCCATCTCCTTGCGGACCATGGCCTTGAGGCTGGGCTCCAGCACCTGGGCACGGTCCATGGAGGCCGCGAGGTCAAGGCTGCTGATATCCCAACCGCCAATGACCAGGTCGTTGGGGTGGACCATGGGGAGCAAGTCACGGAAGGGAATGTTGATCTCCTCGCCAGTCTTGGCATCAGTGCCGAGCTTGACGGTCGAGCTCATGACGATCGAGCCGTAGTAGTTGGCATTCTGGTGACCCTCACGGGTCTCCCAGGAGAGACCACGACGGTTGGCAATGATACCAGCGGTGACGGTGGAACCGTTGTTACCACCCCAGCCGACCAGCATCATACCGACCTTGCCGACCTTGCGCTCCACCTTGAAGTGGTAGTTGGTGGCCTTGGGAGTGGCCACCAACTTGTTGTCGGCAGTGCGGGTGATCTCGGTAGTCTGATAGGCATACTGAGACTTGATCTCGTTGTCGGTGTAGACAACGTTGGGCGACTGAACAGTGAAAAGAGGGGAAGCCTCTTGGCGAGCCGACCCGTTCACGGTGCCATTGGCAACATCCGAGCTTGCGTGGGGAGCCATTGCGTTCACAAGGGTGTTGTTGATAGTGGGGGAGGAAGATTAAGTAGAGTGAACTGATAGTATGCTCAGGATGGATTTACTGCAAGTATAATGCGTAATCCGATGCCCCTCCACGGTTGGAAGTGCGTCGGCCGTTGAACGGGTGGTGCCGCCTGGAAGATACATTGTTAGCAACTGAATTGGGAGAGGGAAAGAGGAAGTTGACAATGGTCCTCGAGGAGAGGAAGTTCGATGCCGGGGAGCAGGGGGGAAGACTCACGAGTTAAGCTGCGTGGCGAAAATTTTGACGGTTGTATGTGATCACTGTCTCGGGGAGAAGTGATCGAACCTACTGACAAGGCTTATACGGACCGAAAAAAGGGTTGGTAGCGGGAGGAACGAAGCGAAGTTGTTGGCGGGAGAGGAAGGTGGGCTGTGGACTGATTAAATAGTTTTGTTCGGGGGAAAGGGCCCACTACCCACACGTGAGCTCCGCTGGTCTCCGGGGTTCTCCCCCCCCAGCTAAACAGGTGTGCCCCTCCCCCTTTTGCGGTCTCGACTACGGAGTCGCCTTGGTTTTTTCCCAGTCCACAATCTATCTGGACCAATTAGGCAATCCCGACTTCCCAAAAGATCTTCGATGGATTTCCGGACCTGTTGGTTGTTGGGCACTAGCTCCTGTGAGCCGGGCGACTGCCATCCGGTGCCTTCTATTTCTCTACTGACACCAGCCGTGCCTCTTCACCTCGCCTAAAAGCTGATGTATTATGGAGCATTCCAAAGAATATAATCAAAAAAAAAGTGGGAATCCATGACTGCCGGGGCCAGTCGACGGCTTCCAAGAGTCGCAATCCTGCTCGAGTGGTCTCCGTATGGTTGGGGCCAATCGACGCCATTCACGTCGGCCATGGTACGCTCCGCTTTCGGATTTGACGGGTACCTGGACTCGCGTAATGGTTCCAGTGTTGGGCCGGGTACCCCCTTTTCTGCCTCCTGTGTTTTTATCTGGGAATGGTCATGCTATGCCATTGATCAAGCCATGATTCGGGGATGGCGTTTACTCTCGGAGACTACAGTATGAGTCTATCGTACCAATTCACAATTTGACCGTTTTGACCCCTCGGACTCGACCCAACGGGTGATCCGTGCCGGCGATCTCAAGGAGGGGCAATCGTGAACTAATTATTCGTTCACTTATCGGCTCTCCCGCGGGGCACCAAACTGGCGGTCTGCGTTTCCGGGCTCGCTCTCGGCCCTGGTTCCTGCATTTCCTGCACTGCAACTGGACTCGAGTACAACTAACTACTGCATGGCTGTGCTGGTCACCGCATTTCTTGTCTTTGTCTTGGTTTTCACTCTGTCCGGCCACATCACCCATGGCACGATAATTGTGAACAATTATTGCCCCTCCAGGCATCGTACATAATAAGATAGTATTTCATGTCCCGTAATCATTATGTAGCCTTTATCCCGCCGCCGTATCTTGTTCTACCATAGGCCCGAATTTTCCGACGCTTGTGATCACACAACGGCTACCGCTAGTCTTGTCATTGTCGGATGACCCGGGTCTCCCCACTGAAAATCACCCATACATCGCCAAGATCCGCGAACTGTCCAATTATGCTGAAAAATTATACCGAGTTCGTGAAACGGAGTTCTAATATGATCTAATGTGAGGCCTGCTCTCATGGAACATCTCCCCTAAATCGACTTTTACCTAGTCCTATAGATGGCAACAGCTTGACTGGCACACTCACCCATGCTCACGAGGTGTACTATGATAAATTCTTCTAGACTAAATTACTCTCCTTTAGGATTCCCCTCGCTGCTGATTCAAACGAGGTGTTTGGTCAGAGGAAGGCGGCAGTTGATTAACCCCGTCCGTGCTTTACGCAGTGCGGAGATGCTTCATTAGGTAAACTTATATCCTCGAAGTCCTAGCCCTATTCCAGTGTATGAGGTTATAGCCAACAACAGTCATCGCATGTAGAAAAGCTAAGACTGACATGTAGCTGAGATGTCATCTACATGGCCTCTATATGGAATGTGTCTCGGTTCGTTTCCGACAGTTCGATCTCTACTCTGCTTTTGACGATAGAATTCTAGAGTTATTGTGTCTTTTCTGTCCTAAAGTCGCTGGTGGGGAAGCAATGACTGTATTACTCTGCTTGCTTTTCCCATGTATGTAAGTACTATCTTCACTGCGCTTTCAGTGCCCTGTTCATTGTCATTGTACAGACCGTAAACATAGAGATTTTACTTTCTTCTCCGACTGCAACCATTTTAATATAGTCAATTCAGCTTCCGAGTACACTCCACTTTGGAAGCTTCAACCTTCGTTCACCCCAGACCTTCTCGAGAAATGGAAGAAACAAAGATCCATATCTGATTATCGCTATCACTAGCGGGGAGACAGCTAAGCCTAGCGGCACCAGGACTTCTGTCGTAACATTTGAATAGGCATTAGATGTGTATATCTGGTTGGAAATATCTTTCGAGTTCTACGTTGCTATTACCAACTAATTCAATGTTTAAACTCGTTGCTGCTGTTGTTCCTGACATGTTTTAGCCGTCAGTTGGAAGTCCTATCTATGACGCCAGTCCAAGACATCATTGGAATGGAATGTGGAAACCACAACACTGATAAGAAGGCGTGACTACTCCAGCAAAATGCCCCTAGCCAGGAGGTTTCAGTAAATTAAAACTTTGAACGTGAAACTCTCCTCAGACTAGCCTTTGAGGCTTCAAATTAGCTTTTTGTTCATGAAACCAAAGTCAATTACCTTTTATCATATAAAGTATAACCATACTTTCGCTCTTTATGCCCCCATTTCTGGGTCTTCGGGGCGATCGCCTCAATGTGGCTGCCCTCTTGGGAGTGATGATGCCTTCTATCGTCTCATTTGGCTATAACCAGTCACTACTGGGCGGCGTCTTAACCTTGAATAGCTTCGAGCAGCAATTCCGCGAAATCGATGTGGACGATGCCACTCTCAGTGGAAAGGGTCAAAAGTCAACTGTGCAGGGAACGATCGTTGCATTGTACGCCGTAGGAGGCTTATTTGGCGCTCTCTCGTGTATTGGCTTGGGCGATCTCCTTGGTCGTCGGCGGGTCATTTTAGTGGCAGCATTGACGCAAATGGCTGGAGCGATTCTAATGGCGAGCGCCTTTGATTTTGTCCATCTCATCATTGCTCGTCTGATCCTCGGACTTGGTTGTGGCGGGCTGGTTGCAACTGTACCCATCTGGCAGTCTGAGATATCATCGCCACATAAGCGAGGTGCACATGTGGCGACGACCGGTCTCTTTGCTGGAGCGGGTACATCGCTTAGTCTCTTTCTGGATTTGGGAATGTCATTTGCTCCTGGAAGTGTGAGCTGGCGCTTCCCCTTCGCTTTCCAGGTGCTGTTTTCAATCGCGATAATCGGAGCCATCTCACTTATGCCCGAGTCACCTCGCTGGCTGATACAACAGAATCGGACTATTGAGGCTCGTAAAATCCTTGCAGCTTTGGAAGATGTCAAGCCCAATGATTCCAAGATTGACGCTGAGATTCAGGCCATACAGTTATCACTCAAGCTTTCCGGGGAAGGGTCTCTGGGTCAAATCTTTCAAATGGGCCCCCAGAGGATTTTCCATCGAGCAATGCTTGCCGCGTCGGTGATGCTGTTCTTGCAACTGACTGGTGTCAATGTCATCACGTTTTTTAGTAGGTTGTCAATCTTCGCTGTGAAGTGGAAACGCTCTAATTCTTGTCTCTTCGTTTAGCCAATACAATCTTCGAACAATACCTTCGATTAGACTCTGTGACCTCCAGAGTTCTAGCAGCCTCTTATCAGCTCGTCAGTCTCATTGGAGGCACATTTTGCATATTCACTGTTGAAGCCTTTGGTCGGCGGGGCTTAATGCTGGCTGGTGCCACAGGCAATGCAATCTGCTTGGCCCTTGTAGCCGGGCTAGGATCCCAGCCGACGAACAAGGTCGCGATGCACGCTGCAGTCGTTTTCATCTTCCTGTACCATTTTACTTTCATCATCGGTTTTGGAGGAGTGGCGTTTTTGTATGTTGGAGAGATCGCACCTTTGAAGATGCGTGCCACTATCAACGGTATCAGCGTCGGCACATTCTGGGCTCTGAATGTTTTGATCGCTGAAATCACGCCCATTGCATTCAATGCTATATCTTGGCACCTTTTCATCATTTTCGCCGGCTTAAATGCGGTCATGGTGGTTCTTGTGTATTTCCTGATTCCCGAAACCGCTGGTCGCAGTCTGGAAGAGGTGGACCAGATTTTCGTCTCCTCGAAAAGTATCTGGGACTCGGTTTGGGTTGCTAGGCGCTTCCCACGCTCGGTCCCAGAGGAATTCCAGAAGGCAGCAAAGCATGACCTGGAGAACTGTCCCTGATTGAGTCGTTTCGTGGGGAGACGCGGACTGAAGGAGATTAACCCCTCCTATGAAACTCGAGTCTCTGAAGCAATTGTTTACGAAGCTTCATAGATAAACAGAATTAACTGAGAGTATGATAGTAGGTGTTCTTTCTCTAAAATTCAATCAGCATCAGCCTTTCCAATTTACAATTTAAAACCAAAAGAGCTTGTAGTCGCGCCCTTAAGGCACTGATGCCATCCACAGTAATCCTTTGAGAAGCGGTCCTCAGGCTGTATGATACATAAAACACCTTCTTTAAGATCACGTTCGTTTAAATTTTAAGGTCCTTTTGACTAGGGTTTCTTACTACTGTCTAGCCGAATGCTTAAGACTATTACTTCCCTTTGACAAGTTCAACAGTCTTGCCCTCGGCTCCTCTGTCAAAGGTCTAGTTTCGTAACAATCAGTAGACTTCTCAATATTTCTGGGCCAAGTTCTCTATGAACTTCGATGATATTTTGCGTTCCAATGTTCACATTTGCTTGCTGGGGTAAAGCAAGTACTATGGAACAAGAATATCGTATTTGGTTGAGAACGATGTCTCTTTCAAGGGCGATATATGACATGAGAAATGAAGAAGAGGGAATAAACGAGAGAATTGACCGTCACAAATAGGCCGTGACTCTCAAAGGCAAGCCAAAGAAATCGATGTCAACAATGGAAATGTCTAGTCACAAATTCAGATACGCCCAATTAGAGCAACTGTCAAAGTGCGGCGATACTCCCCAATGTGGAACTCAACAATTAAAAGTGCAGTTCGGAATCGCTTGGCGTCGTACGGAGAAGCCTTCGATACCGGACGATAATAAAACATGGCCGAGAGCGTTGACCGTAACATGTGCGGCATCGATCTCAAGCACAGAAAAAAAACATAGGAAATGAACAGGTACAGCGTCAAGTCTAGTCGCGCTCGACATCGAGCGACAATCAAAGTGGGGCGTTACTCTGAAAAGAGAACTCAAATACATGAAGATGAAGAGCGAAAGCATGGGCATCAAATAGCGCAGCGCTCGCAGCCGAAGCATGGTGAGTATGTGCGCAAGTGCTGAGCATAAACATTGCGACGTCACACTCCAAAAACGACGGCAAGGAACAAAATGCGAAGAAGGAAAGAGTTTGGCGTCAAGTCGTGGGGTGCTCAATATCGAGCAATTGTAAAACGTAGACAAGCGCAATGATCATATGAAGAATGCGGTGTCACTCTCGAAAACAAGGGCAAAGTGAATAACTCAAAGGACAGGGTATGGTGGCGTCGTATCGTGTGGTGCTTTGAACCGAACAACATGAAGAATACAAGAGGAATGAACATCAAAGTGTAGGCACACAGTCGTCAACAAAATTCAACAAATCAACATGCAAAATGAAAATGGCCGGCGTCGAATCGTGTAATGCTCTATACTGAGCAACAATGAGTGAGTGGATAAGTGCAATAGACCGTCCAGGGACGGCATGACTCTCAACAAAAGACCGAAGGTAACCAAGATGGAGAATGCACAGTGTGGGTAAGGATAGGTCACTGATTCGATTTGGACAAAATCAACCGACAAGTCGTCCTCAGTGCATACGGTGGCGATTTCGTGTATGGGCACGGAGATTATCGACGCGATTGAACCGTCTACCACAGTTGGGGCATATGAACCAGCCCGGCAGAAGATGAAGCGATGTGTAGTGTCGCTGCAGGGTATTGTAGCGGGAAAAGCCCGTGGTATTAGTGCAACTGGGCCAAGGACACCAGTACCGGGACACGGCGCCGACACTGGAAACGATATGGTCAATAGCAAACGAGGTAGACAGATTAGGACTTGGTAGAATGTAGTACTAACTGCTCGGCATCTCCATGACCGTAGTGACTTTCCTGCGGAGAGAAGTGGCCCTGAGCATGATGTGGTCCACCCCGGGATTCATTGGCTGGTTCGCCACCAGGATTGTTGAGGTTGGTATAATGAGTGGAAAAGGAAGTACCCGAATTGCTAGCAAAGTGCATAGGCGCAGTGATGTCTTGCTGGCCGCCCATTTTGGCCGGCGTACCGTTAGGGTTGGAGTTGGGGCGAGGTTGATCGTTCGCCCTCGAATCTCGGTTGCTGACAGCCCTATTGGGCTCATTTTCTGCTCTCGCCATTCCTTTCGGGGAATTTTTGGCAGGGGCCATGGATCTCAACTATAATGTTGCAGTGCAGTTGATTGAATCAAGAGCACAGGATGCAGTAAGGAGGGGACGTGACAGTCAAGGCAGTAAATCGATCAAATGGACAGATTGGAATCGCCAACGCTCGCATGTAAAGAAAGTTAGAGGGGTTGTAAAATGAGAGATTGATTCGGGAATGACTATTGAGCTGAGCCTCTTTATACTTGCGGAGGGGGATCCCATGACCTGTCGAGGGCTCCGATGCCCAAGGTGTAGACAAGGTTGATCAATCCAGTATCACCATGATATACGAGGAATGTAGGGGAGCAAGGGCTCATCGATGCGTTGGTCTGGGGTGAAGGTCGTCAATTGCGCCGCCAGAAACGCGATGGCGTCGACTGACTGGCTCACGGGGGGAAGCCCAGTGTCGGGTTTGCCTTGAGGGATCCCCGAAATCACTGGGACAGCGGAATATCTTCATGATCAGAGACCGTTCAGCGGGGAAGTCCTGGCCCGGAGTGGTTAGACTGTTAGGGCCTACGGGCATTCATTCGCTGCTGTCCTGTCCTGTCCTGACTTGTGCAAAGCAATGGCTGTGCCCTAGGAACCCTAAGGAGGGACGCGATGAACCCGAGATAGTGGGGAATCTAGTCTTTCGCGTGTCCACCGGCTCCCTTTTTTTTTTCTTTCCCCCTTCCTTTCCACCCTGGGGACGATCCGTTGCTAGCGATCTTACAACGGAGCGTGGATAGCTTCACCACTCGATCCCCAGATCCAGTCTCCGGGACCGATAACCTTGCCGCGTCACCTGGGGCGCTAGGCGGTAATGGTAATGCACCATGCTGAAGAGGGGTTCTAGACTTCTAGACTGCTACTTCCTAATGAAAACTTGGTACTCCGTACTTTTGTTTGTCTCTCGGCCTTGCATTGCCGGCCTTGACGAGAAGCATCCGCGATTAAGGTAAGAGTAGGAAAATTAGAGCTGTCATCTCCGATCAGGACTGTCAATGCAGAGCAACACAAGCTTCTAACATACTTGAAGAGCACAATTAACGCTATTGTCTCGAAAAATCTGAATTTTCTTTCCTACTTAATCATTGGAGAAAACTCGACGCCCAAGAATTCTTCTACAGAGACTTCTCGATTAGAAGGTTACTAAACGAAGCTGATTTCGAAATTCAGAAGTATGTATATGGCACTTTGGTACTACTGTACTGTAGCTGATGGATATACATAGTTGTGAGAGCAAGCTGATACAGTAGTGGCATTATGTGCTACAATAGGGCTAGTCTACCAAAAGGAACCATAGATGAGATGAATTAAGTCGGGGAAAAAAAAAAGAAAAAAAAAAAATAAAAAAAAAAAAGATTTTCCAGGGCACGTTCGGAGATCCTCGCTTACCTCGTAGTGAGAGAGGGATTGAAAACCGATTCTTGGAGTGCCGCGAATCCCTCATGCAAACAAAGACAGTCCGCGAAAATGGCTCAACTATTTTGGGTGTCATACTACCCCACACCTAACGGAGTTCCCGGCCGACCTGTACATCCGGCCGTCCTGTACACCCTGAAACACCATACTAAAGGCGATTTTTCAGGTCATAGTATATCAACAACGAGAACTTATTTTTGCTTTATTTCTTGTAGACAATGATTTCTTAGAATTAAAAATAGTATAGCACAACTACTATATTCGAAATATAATTAATTAATGATCATGCAGCCCCGCAATACATCTCTCTCATTCGACGAGGTCGAGCCAGGAGGGAAAAACCAAGAAAATACTTGCTAACGTTCAAAAGTCCGTTAGTTATAATAATTCAAAAAAGGAACCCCCCAAAAAATGATACCTAGGGTTCGGGCTAGTCTCTTACGTCCGTACTTTCTTCCCCACCCAACCCTACGCAAACTAAACCTACTGAGTGTATGGAGTCATACGGCTCGTACTTATTCAGTACTGTACCTGCCGTCCTGATGGATCATAGACCGGTAGCCCCGCGGCCCCGACTCCCGAGCCCGGGCCCCAGGGCTTCGTCCGTGGTTGTCGGGCGGGCCGCGATCACAAAACATTCAGTATCGCTGGAGCTCGAACACGCCATCAGCACCATCGGGAGTATCAGGGTGGTCGATCTTCACCTAGAACTCAAACCATCTGGCCATCGATTGCTAAGCAAAGCGAAGGAAATATGTACATAGCCTCTGACTTCCAGGAAAAGGAGAATATTGTCCCCATGTAGCCCCGTTCCATCTACATAAAGGGCCGCTAGTAAATAAGATCGATCCACGATCGGCCTAGACTCAAGAATTTGTGTTTTTCATTCTCCATTTTCCCCGTCCTGAATCGACGCTAAGAAAGTCAATTTGTGGTTTTCGTTCTATTGTTTTGGCGCCTGATGCTAGATCGGGAGCGGAGCTTGGCTAAAAGCTGGAATGCGCAAGTAAGCAGGAGTGTATTGTGTGGCTATACCAGAGTATTTTTTGTGCAAACTTACTTCTGCTTTGGTTTTTCTTGATTTTCCTTCTATAAATTCACTACTTGACAGTCCCGCTTAGTGTTGCGCCCGTTCCTCGGACTCCCCGGTCCCCCAAAATCAGCGTGGCGCTGTCGATTATCGATCGACCGCCCCTCGTCTGCTTGGTGTAGTCCTTCTCCACCATGGAGAATTGCATTTGGTACAAAATACGGAGAATTTTGATTTACTTGCTGGAACGACAGAATATAGTATTCAATGTTTTAACTAATCTGCTTAAATATATGCCACGGTCGAATTTCGCGGCCCAGCCCCATGGCGTCGGGGTCCGTCAACCGCTTTTATCACCAGAAGTCATACTCTTTCTTGCAGTGTAGCCCGCCAAACTATGAGCCATTCTTTTGGGGAATATGCGTCATTTAGATATGGATCCTTGTTTCTTCCATTTATTGAGAAAGCATGGGATGAACGGGGGTTGAAGCTTCCAAAATGGAGTGTACTAAGAAGCCTAATTGATTATGTTGGATTTGTTGCGGTTGGAGAAGAAAGTAGACAAAGATAGCTAGCCGGGCAGTTGTGGTGGAGATTAAAGATGCAAGATGATGCGGGTGTTGCATCCAGCAGGTTGAACATGCAGCAGTAGTCTCGGAACTCGCGAGAAAGGGACTCGGGAGAACGTATAGATTAGAGACAGGGTGAAGAATTAATTTCAAATAATGCGTATTTCTTGTGATGACGTTGTGGCTGAGTGGACTAATGTGCTGTACTTTCGCCGGTCGTGGCTTTGCTGATTTGCAGGAGTCTTCTAAATCTCGGAATCTGTCTCGACAGACCCTGACCCGAGTGGGCCAAGAGCTGCATCCCACGATGATCTCCCTTTAGGTTAGTGGCTTGAACCTTGACACACCCTCCGAAGTTCGCCACCGCCAGGACCTCCCGCGAAAGGTCGCTGAAATCCTCGCACAGTCCATCATTTCGTTGGCTACTGACTTATCGTAATTCCATTAGGACTGATTTTAATCTGGACCAAGGGCTCGTATTCATGCATAAGCACCTCATTATAGCGCGGATCCGCGAAGCGTCCTCTGGGAAGACGGATTATGTCCTAGAGATCTTGGATGCTGTATCCACCTCTAAATGTGATATGTTCCTGCACGAACTCCTGTACCTCCATTTTGTTCCGAATAACGGAAACCAGATGACCGTTGAATGCCATGCTCCATGGCTGATTTCCATTGATTTCTCTTGAATTCTAATTTTGCACGATCTATTCGCCCGGGTTGAGGGGGTAACGAGAATTGATCCAACCCCATTGGACTCTCTCGGCGGGCATACTGGCCAAAGAATGAAATACGTACCACTGGCGAAACGCGCACTTCTGGGATTTACAATCATCAAACGGTTACAATAAGCTTTAGCTAAAATTCACTCTGTCGCACCGCCCTGAAGCTAGTCGGTTCCACGATCCAGCCCCATGGGTTTGGGCTCCCCTAAATCCGTCATAAACGTCATACAGTGGCCGTTTATTAGTATTTAGAGTGGGGTTCCTGCCCCCCCCCCCCTTCTCTACCAGTGGGCGTAAGTACTGCATTTCACACATTGATGAGCGCTGACTGTAGATCATCGGGATGATTTCGGGACGGTACTTCCACCCGCATACATTACGTCCCCTGGCTCGTGGCCGGAGGTAGGCTACAAGCTTATCGGAAAACTCTTGATTTACTTTTGACCACAAGATAGACACCATATTCATTTCTCGCTCTTGGTGTGATGCCCCCATGCTATCAACGGACGCATGGTATGGAAGAGTAGGGTTCAGTGCCCGTTGGTAATGACCAGTCAGCAGAGCAGAAAAAGGAATATCCGGAGAGTTGAAAGCACAAAAGAGATGAAAAATTATATTCTTTAGCCAACATGGAATTCCAGTCTGCATTAAAGATAGCTGTTTAGTTGGAAAGAGCAGTGGACATAGTGCAGATACCCCGGGAGCTGGTCAAGGACGGGACCTCCCAAGTGAAAATACATTGCTGAGATTTTCATAGTTATCTTTGAAACTTTTCCAAATTCCTCCAACCGCTCAATCAAAAGTCGTATTTCTAGGTCCTTTTGAGGCATGAGAGGTGCCAAAAACTGGATTTGTACAATCAATGATCCAACCTTTGAAAATGTTTAGATATTTTGTGCGGAGTAGCGTTATCGAACAGCTCTGTACCCCGGCAATGGTTGTCGGTTGCATGGTCCTCCATCTGTGTAAGTGATCATCGGTAAACCAACTTTCAGTTCCCAGACCTCAAGCCCGACGAATCTTTTTCAGGTGGCGGTTGGCTTACAACAAGGTAGAACAGAAGAGGTTATTTCAAGTCCATTTACGCACTGAGCGGCTGTGTGGGTGGCCAACAAACGCGCTGCAGGGTCAACCTAGAGAAACATGGGGAACACATGAAAGCGAATTTAATTGAGATGGATTCCAAGCGATTTTATAACTAATTTCATAAACTCAATCGGACCACCATCCTGATACCAAAGATCTGCTTGTGTGATTCATCTAGTGAGTGGGTCAAATATATCATGCTCCAACATCCTGGAATGAGAATCAAAGTCGTCCCAGAGACACGTGATGACCTACTCAGGGATCTTCAAGACAACACGTCCCTCGATCTCCGCATTCTCAAGACGTTTCAAGACGTCCAGAATATCAGCGAGGTCAAAGACCTCAATGCATGCCCTGATGTCCCCCACTACCGCCATTTCCATCAGTTCTTCCATTTCTTTCGCGCTGCCAGCAGAGTTTCCAACAATGGTGAGACCTGTGGTGAGATGGTAAGAACAAGGCGTAAGGAGACATATAGGAGGTCATGGCATATTTATGACATACCCTTGACAATCATATCTAGCGGGGTAACCGGTAGCTTGAAAGGAACATTCGGAATACCAACGCAGACAAGCGTCCCTAGGCGACGCAACATCTGTATGCATTGCTCATAGGCCTTTTCTCCATTGGCTGTACAAATGACGGCATGTGCCCCGAGACCTGATGTAGAGGCCTTGACAGCTTCGACAATGTCAACTTCAGTGAAGTCCAAGAACTCTGAAGCTCCCAGGTCTAGGCATAGCTTCCTCTTTTTTTCACCCCTATTTTTGGTCAGTATGGGGCTGCTATATATCTTAGCGTGTGTTAAAGACGTACTTATCAACAGCAATGACCTTGAGTCCTTTCTTAGCAGCGATCTGGACTCCCCTATAATGAGGCAATGTCATTTACCAGGACAAGGCTATGCCCAGAATCCAGACCTTACATGTGTCCCAACCCTCCTCCTGCGCCCAAAATGACGATTGAGTCACCTGGGCGTGCGTTGGCCTTTTTGATCGAGGAGTACATTGCGATGCCGGCTGCAAGATGTTAGAAGTAGACACAAGAATGGGCTACTTATTGGACATACCGCATAGTAGGGGGGCCGCTGTATCTGGGGATAACCCAGGGGGAATCTTAGTGGCATGAATTGCCGGGCTGACAAGATATTCTAATTTAATGGCTCAGTGAATCTGACTGTTTAGTTAGTGTGATAACACAAACTTACGCTGGAAAGTTCCCGGTACGTTCTAGCAATTGAGTGACCATGTTAGAAAATGCCAAAGCGTATAGACTCGTAAATGTTCCTCGATGTTATGCCAATGGGGAAACTAGTTACGTACCGCTCCAGCATTCTTCTGATAGGGACATGAAGTATGGTTGATAGCGCATATCTCACACTCCAAACAAGAGCTGTATAGCCATCTGGCAGCAATATGTTTAGCATCAATACTGTTATAGGTTGATCGAGCATCATTAGGGCTCATACTCACCTGATGCCCACTCTTTGGCCAATCCACTGTTTTTCATCCAAGCCAGGTCCAACTATAGAATGTGAAGATAAAACTTTAGCATGCTGTTGATCAAGAAACGAAATATCGAATTTAAGTCTAGTTCACCCCTCACCTGCAACAACTTTCCCCACTCCCTCATGGCCCGCGACATCGGTCAGCATCGGAGTGTCACCTCGAATACTGTGCACATCGCTATGGCAGACTCCGGAGAATTCAAGTTTGACAAGGACCTCTCCATCGCCTGGGTTGGGAACTGGATGAGTCTTGCTAATTTGTATATTTAAAGATCCGTTAGGCCCTGGAGGCGGGATGGCAGCTGCGATTTGGGTAGATGGGATGGCCATCTTGACTAAGCTGAGAATTTGATGATGATGATGATGATGATGATGAACGAAAGACTATGCGTGATTAGCTACTGAGAAGCCAGTCAAGACGAACCTGTAGGGGAAATGGCAGAGTGTGCACAGGTTCGAAAGATAAAAGGGTGATTGGCATGGGGTAGATGCGGGGGTTACATGACGCTTATCTATGGGAGAAAGATAGCCGAACGTTTGCCCAGCGTGTGCTTAGGGGTTCGATTAATGCACCTTTTATATTCGGTCTCGACGGCTCCGAGGCGATATTTGGACATAAGTAGGAGACATCGAAAGGGGAAACACAATTTCCCCGTCAAGCCTCGGCAGCAGTTGTATTAAACGATTATCATGGACCATCCTAAAGCTCCACACCCCCAAAAATCATGTAGCAATATAAGACAAGGGCTCTGTTGGTTTTAGCAGAGCCGAAGAGAAGAAGTGGCATAGCACCCCTGAATGCAGCAGAACGGCCCCCGAGCCGCGCGAGCAACTTGGAGGGCGAGGTATATCAAAGATCAAACAAAATCTATAGCCCGAGAAAGAAAGAGGGGCTTCATGCGTTTTCGGCCTGAATGGTTTGCTGTAGAGTGATCTTGGTGTTAGTTTGTGATCAAGATGCAATCTGGGAAGATGAACCCCCTAGGAGCCTCTGAGAACTGCGGGTAGACGGAAAACATACCACCAGCCAGTCCATGCCTTCATTAATACCCTTGCCGTCGATCGCAGAACAAGCCACGATACTCCAGTTCCGGTCTCGCAGCTCACCCAATTTCAACGCCTCCGAAATCTCGCCGGCGCCCTTAGCCCCTGGCTGATCCTGCTTGTTGGCAAACACCAGTAGAGCCGCATCCCGCAGCTCATCCTCGTTCAGCATTGCTGCAAGTTCATCCGCCGCGGTACCCAACCGTTCAATATCTGTAGAATCGATGACGAAGATGACGGCAGCAGTGTTGGCGTAGTAACACCGCCAGTAAGGGCGAATCGACGTTTGACCACCGAGATCCTGAGGTAACAGGGGTTAGTTTCATATGCATGCCCATGCGAAAATCGTAGAGCAACATACCCAGACATTAAGATTCAGATTCCGATATGTGACCGACTCGACGTTAAATCCAATAGTGGGGATGGTTGTGACGACTTCACCGATCTGTCCGGCGATAGATTAGCACTTCAGCCTCGGATGTCGCTCGCGATGCACTCCTGGGAATGCGACAAGCAATTCACCTTAAGTCTGTAGAGAAGAGTCGTCTTTCCTGCGTTGTCCTAAATCCAAGAAGCCCAATTAGTCTTTCACTTTCGCAAAAGAGAGAGTCGTCTGGAGCTGTTTGGCTCCCTCGCGCTGAGCAGACGATGACATACGAGACCGAGGATGAGAATTCGAATCTCCTTCTTAGTCCAGACAAGGGACCAAAGACGCGACAAAGACCCTCCCATGATTGCGTATGATTCGTTGCGGAGTTGTTCGATTGCAAAACGGTGGTGGTTAGCGGCGAGTATGAAGCCGAGTGTAGATACAGTGGCGTCTTGCGGGCGGGGAGGAGAGATGTAGCCGTCAATATGAGGCCGAGAGTCTATGGACAAGAGGGGCGGAGGACTGCGAAGAGAATGAAAGGGAGCCAGACTAAAGCAACAAGTACGAGGATGGACCCTTTTGGTGGCAACCGCCTTGTCAGTTGGCGATCTGCCTGTCCGTGCGGGCGGTCAATCGGACATGCGAGTGAATGGCGCCGCTATTCGCGATGGACCGCGCACTTCCCGACAAAGACGTCTCTTTCCCATTCCTCTCGGCGTCCGTTTCTCCTTCAACCTTCTACCTTCCTCAATTGTACATCCTACGGTCGACATTTACTGAGGGACCACAACCTAACTCGTTAAGCGCATAGTCCGGAGAGAACCCGCACCAGGTTGTGCGCTCTCTACTCCCTGGATTCCGTCGCACCCTCGACTCCATTGAACCCGATCGATCCGGAGACGAAAGGCTAGCAATTTGCCCAACATGGTGGGCAAGAAGTCGGGCAAAGCTCTTCGTGATGAAGGTAGGTTCATCCTTTTACTGCACCGGTCAGAAGGGCAACTAACAACAAGCTACTAGGCCTGGAGCGGACGGATAACAATATGGACCTCTCGAGCTGGCCGCAGGTCGCCGCAATCAACCAGAAGAACTACTATACGTAGGTTTTCACAAGCTAGTTGTCTGCTGCAGTGCTAATTCTGTTCTGTTCATTCTAGGGATTACCTGAAGAGAGACGACCAGTACCTCGCGTTCCGACTAGCGAATGAAGAGGCCAGGATCAAGATGACCAAAAGCGCCAAGGACCGCGATCGCGCTCGCGCAATGGACAAATCAACCGAAGATGCGGACGCAGAAGCAGAGGCGGATGCAGACGCCGACGCCGACGCCAACATGGACGACGATGAGGAGGATACTCCGACAGAGACCGCGGGCTCCAAAGTCATTGTGATTCACGTTGGAAGCCAAAATCTGCGAATTGGCCTCTCAAGTGATGCTTTGCCGAAAACTATGCCAATGGTAATTGCAAGAAAATCAAGTACCAACGAAAGCGAGGATCGAGAAGAGCCGAAACCGAAGAGGCTCAAGCGGGATGACGGGACGGATGAAGACCCAGAGAGAGTATTTGGACCAGAGGTAAGCCCCATATGCCTTTGTAGAAGCAGCTCGAATATCGCTCATCAGAAAACAGTGGTCCTCTCAATACACCAAGATGTCTGCGGATCTCAAGGTCCGAATGAAGGCCAACAAGCGACGAATGTTGCCCAATCCCAAGGAGGGAGTAATCAACTTCAACCGCAAGCAGACGCCGGAGGTCATTTCAGAGCATAATGATCCGGAGCGAGTTGACTGGACAGAGCTCGAGAGTCCTCCGCCAGAGTACATTGTTGGACAATCAGCATTGCGGATTCCCGATGCCTCAAAGCCTCGATACAAGCTCTTCTGGCCCATTCAAAATGGATGGTGCAACGAGCGGGACTATACGAGCAAGCGTATGCTGTTCCGTGATATCTCCATAATCCTCGAAGAGGCGATCAAAACCCAATTAGGCCTCCACAGCAAAAAGGACTGGCCTCAGTACTCCTGTGTGTTCGTGATTCCGGATCTATATGAGAAGTCTTACGTGAACCAAGTGCTGGAGATGCTGATGCGAGAGTTCTCCTTTGCACGAGTGTGCTTTATTCAAGAAAGTTTGGCGGCTACCTTTGGTGCCGGTTTCACCTCTGCCTGTGTCGTCGACATTGGAGCCCAGAAGACGTCAATTTGCTGCGTCGAAGAAGGCATGTGTATCGAAAACTCCCGAGTGAACCTGAAGATGGGCGGCAACGACGTGACCGAGACTTTCACCAAGATGATGTTGCATGACCATTTTCCTTATGCCGATATCAACCTCTGGCGTAGATATGATTATCTCCTGGCCGAGGAATTGAAGAAGAATATTTGTACTATGGATGAGGCTAAGGTGTCTCCACAGGCATTCGACTTGCACCTTCGAGTGTCCGGGCAAGATACCGAGAAGCACAATTTTAAGGTTTTCGATGAGGGCCACCTAGCTCCCATGGGCTTCTTTGAGCCGACCATCTTCGACAACTCGCAGAAGCTGGAAGGCCGACGGAAGCTGATTGAAAAGTCGGTCGATATTTATGACGGCCAACCCAATGATCCCACTTCGGCAGCCCAGTCCGAGATCTTGACTGCTTTGGCTCCCCCACTGCCTTCTAACGGCAAGGCCAACGGTGAGCCTGACGTGCATGCGACCCCAGCTCGCCCGCAGCAGCTGAATCCGCTGGGTCGGATCCAGGAACAAGATGCCACCCCTCGGTCTTCTGTTGCTGGGTCTCCTGCACCTGAAATTGTGGGAACCCCCCAAGCGGGTGGGACCGGCACGCCGGCTGTCAATGCATCAACATCTCAGCCTAGTCGCCCAGCTGTTGAGTACCGCGACGACATCTTGCCCGTCTTTCCCCTGGACAACGCCATCTTGACCTCGATCGCTCATGCTGCTCGGTCAGACGAGAAAAAGATGCGGGACTTCATTGGTGGTATCATGGTAGTTGGTGGTGGTAGTCTCACCAACGAACTGCATGCATTCCTTGAAGCACGACTGAAGGCTCTTCGTCCTGGTTTCCTAAAGGAGATCATGATTGGCGTGCCGCCACGAGACCTTGATGCTCAAGTGGTCGTCTGGAAGGGCGCCAGCATCTTTGGAAAATTGAATGCTACTAATGACAGCTGGATTGGCCAGCTGGAATATGATCGATTGGGTCATCGCTTGATGGCATACAAGTGCATGTGGGCCTACTAAGTGCTTGTTTCATGGGAGTTTTTTCTTATATCTTGAATGGCTTCTTGAAATTCTCTCTATGAGACGGTGTTCAGGATAGGTCATCGGGAGACCAGAAGTATTTTTCATTTTATATTGTCAACGGAGATTTTCCATCAAAGTCTGAAGACATTGTCTATCCTTCATCTCTGCGGAGTAGTACTTAGTAAACAGTAGATATGTGCACGGACCATCTGGAAGCCATGCAATGTTTCTGAATAGAGAAGGCGGCCTTCATCGGCAGAATGAGCACCAAGTCTACCATTTGCCTACCGACCGCCTGACGGTTCATGTTGTCGAGCAGCGGTTTGGTTATTTCTGTTCTGCGCCCAGGCATTGAACTTCAAGTGATTTCGGATCGTGTAATCTGCCTATTTCTTGAGCAGCTTCTGTGACCTCCCTTCCCTCACTCTATTCGGCAACGACAACTCTTGTAAGTCCGCTCCCACCAAGCTTCGCACGAAAATGAATACTGATTCGCATCCACAGACTTACCTTTCGTTCGCGCCCAATACCTAACTAGGGTCTATCCCCATTCCGAATAGCAATCACTGTCGATGTCTTCCAAGTCTCGGGAGGACAAGTCCTCCAGCGGCTTTCACCAGGAGTACATCGCGTCCCTGCGTTATCGCAATGACCTTCCTCCGCCGCATATGCCCCCAAAGCTACTCGACATTCCTCATGAGGGCCTGAGCCGTTTCCTAACCCCCGGCTTTGCCTCCAATCTTGCGCGGCGAGAGGAGCCCAACATTGATGTCGACGCCGAGGGTGGTATGCCCATCGACCTGGTGGGTCTTCCGGGCCTGCATCTGGGAGATGAGAGTGGTATGTAAAGGCGCTATATGAGTTTGATACTCTTAAATTGGGCCATACTAACCAGTATACAGCTATCATGGCGCCCGAGCACCCTCTACCAATGGACCCCGCAGACCTTCCGCTTTTAATGACCCTCGACCAGCTTCGCAATCCTGCTCCGAGAAATACAAACGTCAGCTTCCTTCGTCGCACTCAGCACATCTCAGTCGATCGCACCGCTGGTCCGGGAAGCGCTCCCGCAAAGGGGCTGAACCGTGCGGTCAAGAAGGGAAAGGTTTCGGTGGAAGACCCTAAGCACATCAAAAAGTTCATCCAGAAAGGTTTCGATATTGCCTATCCCCAAAGCAAGCATACCGGCGAAGACACGGACAGTCAGATCAGGGGCCTCCCAGCGACGAAAGCGGAAACGGATGCATGGGCACGTCCCGTCCACCCTGACAACCCGAAGCTGAAGCCAGTCGGATTCTTCCCATTGCTGCCGGACCTCTCAGGCTTCCCCGACCCTGGTGGTTTTGTCCAATTCAAGTTCGATAAGGCGCCTGTGTCTGCAATTGCTGGCAAGCGGGACAAGCGTATGGATGTGGCTCTGCTACACCCTTCTGCGCCGGAAGAACGCATCTGCCAGGAGCACGCTTCAAAGCAAGCTCTTCACAAGGCTAATCCAGACCTTTATCCTGACCCGGGCCCTATTCCCTTCGATTACGACCTGCATCTACCTGAAAAACAGGAGTCGGTTAAGAAAGTCTACGCCAGTATGGACTTGAATAACCCGGACCGGGACGATGACGACCTCTACACCAATGAGGGCCCTGATGGCGCCAAGTACCACCGCTTCGATCGTGTACGGACCTTCGCCACAAGTGCTCAGAGTCTGAATACCGATCAAAAAATGAAGGACATTGCCCTAACTCTCCACAAGCCGCGTGAAGGGGAGACCAAGCAGCAGGCCGCATTCTACTACCCGATCATCAGCAAGGTGCGCCTGAAGCCGGAACGTGCTCGCACCATCGCACAGGCCGGTCTTGCTCCCACTGCTTCGCAGGCGCCGGAAGAGAAGATCGATCAGTTCCACGTCACGGTCCGTGATCCTGACGAGGCGGAGGTCTACAAGCGCTCGCTGCACCGGGCCAACATCGATCCGAAATTCGCGCAGACCCTCCCGCTCCCGCCTGCTGAGGGAGACGCCCTTGAAGAGGAGGAGGCAGGCGATGATACGCGGATGAGCGATGAGTAAAAAGAAAGACCATAGCTGATTCGACTCGATCGTGGCATTTGTTTCTTTGACCTCCGACATCGGAGTTATTTTTATGGAGCTTGGCGTATGGGAACGAGGCAAATCAGCGTTGTTTGTATGTATAGATTCCAGCAGAGCCCGATGGTGGTACAAATATTTCTGGCCATTCTTCAATATCATTACGATTAATGGTGTTCAAATTCCTACATTGATGACAAACCAGGAGACACATTGTCTCAAACAATGAAGAGTAACTATATTACCTTGACTAGGTCAACCATATCAAAACTTTCCTCAGGTATGAGCTCTTGTCCCAAGCGTAGGTACAAGCTCCCTCTCCGAAGACTTTTTCCGCCAATGCAGTCAGAATCTATAAACACCCCATGACAGCTTTTCAATATTTCCACGCTGGCGAACTGGTCAGATTTTGATCATACATGGAAATAGGCCTCCAATCCATATCATCGGCAGCGCGTAGTGAGTCTCCGGACAATGGGAGCAATTCGTGACTTTAGATACTGAAAAGGTCTTTTCAAAGGTCTTTTCGGCACTATCGAATCTAAGAGTAGATATGTGACCAGTTGGCTTGTTAGGGTTGAAAGTAAGTAGCTTCACCGCCTATAACTGCCGGTTGCCGACTCACCGCCCGCATCTGTAAAAGATCCCCGATTCCGCCCTGCGATGCTCCGATCTGCAAGGAAGGTGCAGACCCTCAAACTAAGGCATTGTAGTAAGTTTGTCCCTCGTTCATCTTGGGAGGTGGACAGGATTTTGTCCGCGGTGAGCTCATGGTCAAAGCTGTCATGGCACAAACCTCGAGCCGCCTGTAATTGTTCTGCGTATCCGTGATCCCAAGGAACTAGATCGACTGACCTTGAACCAGGTCCGATCCGGCGCATACCCGCCGAGAAAGGCCAATTGAACGCATACCTCGTAGCCAGCCCTAATGTCGTCAAGTGCTGCCTCCATCGCTTGGCGAGCTAGCCTTCGGGCCCGCGTGCCTCCCGCTTCGCGCTGGTCCCAGCGGCCGTCTGCGCTGCTGTCGAAGCGCTATCCCGGTGCTGTACGATATGCCTCTGGATCGGCGCCAGTGCAAACCGCGGCTGCAGAAACAGTGAAGGAGGCGTCGAAGGAGATCCCTAAGAAAGCTGGTCGCGGGTCCCGGAAAGTCTTGTACGGTACTTCTCTGGCGGTTGTCTTGTTGGTGGGCTATATCTATGGGACGGACACTCGGGCGAGCATTCACCGTTACGCCGTTGTTCCTCTGATCCGACAGCTGCTCCCCGATGCGGAGGATGCGCATCACATTGGTGTCGACACTCTGAAGCTCCTCTATCAATATGGGCTCCACCCCCGTGAACGGGGCAACCCAGATAGCGATGGTGCCTTGACCACCGAGGTATGGTAACATCGGTGACTTCAGTGTCTTATGCCCTGCGACTTGGTCCAATGCTCATGTGTTTATGTTCAGGTCTTCGGATACACCCTCTCCAACCCCATCGGTATCTCTGCCGGTCTTGATAAGCACGCCGATATCCCCGATGCCCTGCTCGATCTTGGCCCAGCCATCGTCGAGGTTGGTGGAACTACTCCTCTGCCTCAGGAAGGTAACCCCAAACCTCGTGTGTTCCGTATTCCCTCACAGCACGCCATGATCAACCGCTATGGCCTCAACTCCAAGGGTGCGGACCACATGGCCGCTGTGCTGAAGCAGCGCGTGCGCAACTTTGCCTACGCTGCCGGCTTGGGAGACCACGACCTCGCTGAGCAGCGGGTCCTGGACGGCGAGGCCAACGTGCCCCCCGGTAGTCTGGTTCCAGGCAAGCTGCTTGCCGTGCAGGTGGCGAAGAACAAGCTTACTCCCGACGGCGACATCAACGCGATCGCCCGTGACTACGTCTACTGTGTCGACCGCGTCGCCCGTTACGCCGATATCGTCGTCGTGAACGTCTCCAGCCCCAACACACCCGGCCTTCGTGACCTCCAGGCCGCAGCTCCGCTCACCACCATCCTGACAGCCGTCGTCGGCGCTGCCAAGAATGTTGAGCGCAAGACGAAGCCTTACGTCATGGTCAAGGTCAGCCCCGACGAGGACTCGGACGAGCAGCTCTCCGGCATCTGCGAGGCAGTCTGGAACTCGGGCGTTGACGGTGTCATTGTCGGTAACACGACCAACCGCCGTCCCGAGCCCCTGCCCAAGGGCATCGACCTCCCTGCCCACGAGCAACAGACTCTCAAGGAGACTGGCGGCTATTCGGGCCCGCAGCTGTTTGGCCGGCTCGTGTCGCTCGTTGGTCGCTATCGTACCATGCTAGACCAGGGTCCTCCCTCGCAGGCGACCGAACAGACTGGTTCCTCCGAAGGTGAGACTGCACCCGTTGATGTGACGAGCCACCCGCGCAAGGTGCTTTTCGCGTCTGGTGGCATCACAACCGGCCAGGAAGCACGACAGGTGCTGGAGGCTGGTGCCTCGGTCGCGATGATGTACACAGGTGTGGTTTACGGCGGTGTTGGAACTGTGACGCGAGTGAAGCAGGAACTGCGCGAGGAGCTGCAAAAGAAATGAGTATTGGAAGCAGTGTGCCGAGGCGAGCGGGAAAAGTACGGTCTAGATTAGATTATGATCTTTTTTTTTTCAATTCTTAGTGGAATTTTGTACATAGCATTGTGATGAGAAAATTTTAGCATCAAGTTCGATTTTGGAGTTGGATACTCGACGAGTTGATTTCTTTCTCACTTCCGATTGGGGTTCCTTGAGTTCGTAGTGAACAAGACGGCTGTCCAACTGTTGGCGGGGCTCTCTCCTTCTCGCCCGAGTAGAAAACCACCTCGAGACGGGGACCATTCCACGTCAACGCCGACCCAGACCTCAAGTCTTCCCTAACAAGGAAATGCCGCCTTTTTTGGCGACAGCCGAAGCAATTTCCAGCTCGAATTACTCAATATAACCAGTCCACAACGCCCAAGTGGACCGACAGGCGTATCTTGAAGACCGGCATGATCCCATCAACAAGGCACATGACAGAGTGGACCCGAGAGGTTGGAGCCGCCCCCCTCCAATGGCAACAAGCTCACAGATCTCTCAGAAGCCGGGAAGCTCAAAGCTCAAACAGCGACATGCAATTCTAAAAATGCTTTAGAGTTATCTGGGGCTAAAATCTCTGATCGTCCGCGTGACAGGGGGTTCGGTTGAGCGACTGCGTGGGGGTTTCTGCTGTACTCGGTGCTCTGCGGGCAGGGGAGTATAGGAGTCGAGGAGAACGAGTCTAGAAGACTGGGTGGGCGTGGAACTAGTCTCCATAGTTTCTCCATAAACGTGCATCCCGTAGCTTTGGTGGAGACAGTCGATGGAGGCCCTCGAACGGGATCCCCCAGATAGGCTTCCCGGGAAGCGGGGGCGTTGTGCTGCTTTACTCGATAGCTGGCTGAAGGGTGGAGTGGGGTTTGTAAGATGTTTCCATGAACAGGGAGGAAATTCCAGGGTTTTTTTTTTGTGACTCGTTGATTTCAGATCGATCATGGGGTCCATTCTCTTTTTGGGGTTCGTTTTGTTTTTCTATGCGATTGTGTGTATCTGGGACGTATAACCATGACCGTATAGTGTATGATGCGAAACCACGATACCGTCAACCCAGGTTCGGTCGGCTGGTTGACACCGATACCCGCGGAAGATGCATCTTTGTTGATGGTGGGCATGGGGGGAGTCATAGGCACGGTCATCCGTTCAGGCCACGCCTAGCGACTCCTCCACTTCGCGGACAACCTTGCGCACACCCTCGATTTCGTGCGCAAAGCGTCCGAGGAACATACCATCGACAGCCTTGCCCAGCCCGCCCGCACCCCAGAGGCCAGGTCCAGCGCTGCCACCGTATAGCACACGCGCTGCACCGGGGCGGGAGCCAATTACCCCGCGGATACCCTCGACAACGGTGGCGACGTGGTCGACACCAGCCGGCTTGGGTTTCCCAATGGCCCACACGGGCTCGTATGCAAAGATGACCGGGGCATCCGCGGGAATCGCAGCCAGCACGGCGCGGATCAGGACCGCGCATTCAGCGACAGCTTGACCGACGGCTGCGGAGGCAACGGCGCCGGGGGCAGTTATCTCACCAACACAGACGAGGGGCACCATGCCCTGCGCGCAAGCCGCGGCAGCCTTGCGGGCTGTCTGGTCATCCGTTTCGCCAAAGATCGCACGGCGTTCGGCGTGGCCCAGCTCAACGATTGAGCAACCGAGAGACCTGATCGCAGCCGGTGAGACTTCGCCCGTGTAGGCGCCGTGCTCTTCCCACATGCAATCCTGGGCACCGAGGAAAAAGGGCGGTGGAGAAATCGATGTCCCAGAGGCGACGAGCTTGTTCTCGTACTCCTTTAGGATCTCGGCGCAGGGCCATATAGTGAGGAAGTCGGGGATGAGAGCGAGGAGGAGCTTATCTCGGTTTTTGGGGTGGACGATCTCGTTGGCGGGATCGAGGAGTGCGCGCATGTAACTGGTGGTGCGCTCTGGGCTAAAGTACATCTTTAATGAGATAAGGAGGAGCTTCTCTGGAAGCACGGGATACGTGGTGGAAGCCATAGCCGGTGATACTGAGAGGTGTTTTCACCAGAAGGTGTGTGTTGTGTGGTAGAAGTAGAAGGCTTGTTGAGTAGAGAGAAGGGTGTTGATCTTCCCCGGACAATTTAGTCACACTAGCTCGGGCAGTGTCGGCGTCCGTGCTGCGAGAGGGCCTTGAGTTTGTCCCAGATGAGGAACCATCACAATGCTCCATAACAAGGGGCAAAGTGTCCTCAGGATCAATGCAATCCCACGAAAAAGACTTCAGGGAATAAACGGAATGATTTGATTGTTTTCTTTCCGGTCCAGGGCGTCAGCGCCATCCCGCGCACGCAATAGCGGCCGACAGGGCCATGCCAAATCAGGGGCATTGGTTCCGAGCGACTTGGTCTTCCGTTGGAACTGTGGGCACGGACGTTTGATGATCGAGCGTGATGTCACAGCGCATGAGCTGAGGGATGCACCGGCCTTCGTTGTCAAATGTCGGGAGACTTGGAGATACTCGTTTGATCCTCGTTTACTTGGTGCGCTGAGTCTAATGTGGTTTAGTGTAAGTTTCCAGTCATGTAAGGACTTGGTAATAATACCAGGGCCCATGAAGTTGCGGTATGAAAGATACAAAAATGGGCCCTTGCAAACGAAACAAATTCTTGCAAACTGACCAAACGAAGCAAACCGGGCGATTATTGTCCATGACTCTCAATCTGTGGCTTCATGTTAACTGAAATAGGAGTAGCACTTTGTGAGTATCATATAGTAGCGTGCTTAGAATCCTACTATTTATACCCTCCCATCAATCGCTCTTGTTCTTGCTTTTTGTATATACACTAAAATCACAAAACCACTACCCAGTACGGTGACTAAATGGCATCCATCCTATCTGCACATGAAATCGGGGAAGGACTTCCCATTCTGATCATTCATGGATGGGAAATGAATGGGAGAGTCGAAGAACGAGACTTTGAGCCCATCTTCGACAAAATACCGGGCCTTTGCCGGATTTTCGTGGATCTTCCAGGCATGGGCACGACACCGGCGAATAACATCAAGAATTTGGACGATATATTCGATCATCTGGTGCAATTCATCGATTCTCGCCTTGCGGGTTCACGATTCCTCCTTATCGGCTCATCATGCGGCGCTTACCTTGCACGGGCGATAGCTCAGAAATATACGAACCACGTCGACGGTCTACTCTTACGAGTGCCGCTCATCAAGCCGAAGAACAGCATGCGCGATCTCGACCCTTTCAAACCATTGGTTGCAAACGAGCAACTCATGTCGAGCCTTTTAAGCGAAGACAGGACACTCCTTGGGAACGTCCTCATTCAAACACCTGCTTACGTCGAAGCTCTCAAAGCAAAATACGAGGCGGTTTATCGTCCAGCTGAGGAAGCCGCAGACAATCAAGTGTCGGATCCGATTCGTGCAGATCCAGATCGATATCGCTTATCGGCTGAGCGGATCGATGAGAATGCCACGTTTCTTGCCCCCACACTTATTGTGTGTGGTCGGCAAGATGAGGTCGTAGGCTATCGAGATAGTATTCGCTTGTTGGAGCTTTATCCTCGATCTACCTATGCCGTTCTAGATCGTGGTACGCATGGGCTTCCTGTTGATGAGACTGGTCTTTTTGAAGCTTTTGTTCGTGATTGGGTTACTCGGGTGGATGAGTGGCGTGGTCGCACGCACGAATAGACTGTCTTTGTCAATGACTTTGAGACCATTCCTAGGGCTACTGGAGATGGACGCCTCTGCTGACGAGGGGTTGTTTGCATGTTTGTTGATGTTTGAGTCGAATAGAAGCGGGTGGAGTAAATATTTTTCATACATGCCCATACAGCTTACTCATCATTTCAGCGTTTGGTATTATTACCAGTCAAACAAGAAACACGGCTTTGAATACGGAGTAACCATATTGGGGTTGCCGCGGTATTATGATTGAAGTACCTCTATGGTTTGCCACAAGATAGGCAAGAATAATATCATAACTGTCAACACTGGACCAATGGCTTAGTTATTTAACCAGTAGAAGCAGACTACTCAGATTCGTAGAGAAAATGACATAATAATCAATTAAGCTGCTGTCTATGAGTGCTCGAGGAACCACGAGTCCATGACTCCCATAGGCAGAAGAATTGTCGCAGGTCGGTCTCTGGAATGACTATCAGGTACACGCGGAGGATTGTTTCGGATCAACAAGGAAAGCGGCAGGCGGCCACGAAATGGACGATAATCGGTTAGCTGAAACGGGCCAATGAAACTATTCCCGATTTCTGGGCATCGCTAGGCAGGTTGCTTGGGGCCAGAACAGGGTACCACCCTGTAATTAGCCCTTCCAAAGGTATTATTGGCAAGGTTTGATGATGTTCATTGCGAGGGGTAAACCGCGTAACCTTCCCTATCCTCTTTATTTACCCCTCCATCGTATATTCCACTATAAAGGCTATCTATCTCATGGTCGATGCGAATCATATGTTCTTCCTTGAATTATCAAAACACACGACAGTCTGCAAATCCGGAGTAGGTTCGTCAGTGGACACGAGGTAGTCTCTCCAGTAGGCCTTGTTTTCAGCAGTTAGCGGGCCAACAGGAGTGAATTGCAATCGAGGGGGTGGAGTGCCCGGTGGATGTGCGGGTGGATTGAAGTGGGGGCAGGTACAGCGATAACCAGCCCCAACCGCTGTCAAAAGGACCTATCTGTCGGACTTTGTGCGAATAGGCTGGTTTCCGAGGGAGAACTAAGTGGACTTGTAGTTCATGGGGTTAATATTCTTTTTTGTTCATATTGTATACCAAATTGTATAGAGTGTACTGCATGTGTTATCACGACCGAATATGCGGCTCTCGGGCTGCTGCCAGCCTGCCACGGCGTGAAATAAGCTGGCCGGCTTCAAAGGGCATTGGCGACGCCGTTCCCGAAGCCATCCCCTCTATCCCCTGCATTGGTTGGCTGTCACCATGTCCTCCTGTCCCGTCCTTGTCTAGGCGTTACTCGGCGGCACGTTCCAGGGGCAAGAGTCGTCTTTTGGTTTCCGCACGGTCCTGTTGACGAACATCCTAGGCCCAGTATTTACTTCCCGGAGGTCCGACATGTGTCCTGTCTAAGGGAAGTCTGCCGATAACTCCATTGTCGCACAAATCAGCCATGGCCCAATGTGACCAAACACGGCTCGCCCGTGCAGCAGGATGACATCGATGGCTGGTGTCGATGCAGAGTATACATAGCAAGACATGTGCACTCCTGCACTGTTGTCAGTTCGAATTTCACTACGTTCTTCTCGAGAGCTTCGAAGTCGACACAAGTCTGGTAACGATGCTGGTAATACGAGGTACGATGGTCGTACTCGGATGTACAGCCTCCTGAAAGTATCCGACCCCAGAGTCCACTCACCGCACGCGAATCGAAAGCCATGACGCTATGGCGGGGCTGTCCAAGTAATCCTAGCAGTCCGAGCAAAAGACCTCGAAAGGGAAATAATCAATCGTAACGAATGAAATCAAGGCTGGACCAGACATTGGCATTACCCTTGCGATTGGGAAGTGTGGAGCATGGCCTCGCCCAAGAATGCCCAGTCGACACGACTGGCTCTGTCCACCCGTGCTCCACCCTGGGGAAGATGTGGACGGTGGATAACGGGGATGGCGGAGGATGAGTTCTGGGTTTTGGACCTGATGGGTTGCACGAGAAAGATTGAGACAAGGTCCCCCCCGCGGGAAGAAAATGTATAAAGAGGTCCCTGGAGAAGGCGCCTGTTGGCCGAAACTCATTTTCTTCACCCGTCCATCAATTCCTCCATCCCAATCAATCAATCATTATCTTTATACCTATTTCCATATACATAACTTTTTCTTGGTATCCTCCTTCCTCGAAACGTATTGACAATGTCTGCCGATCTCAAGCCCCTCCGTCTCGTCATGGCCTGCGACGAGGCCGGCGTTCCCTACAAGGATGCTATCAAGGCTGTCCTCGAGAAGAGCCCTCTGGTCGAGTCCATCACCGACGTCGGTGTCAATTCTACTTCCGACAAGACTGCCTACCCTCACCCTGCTGTCGAGGGTGCCAAGCTGATCAAGGAGGGCAAGGCTGATCGTGGTCTGTTCATCTGCGGCACTGGTCTCGGTGTTGCCATCGCTGCCAACAAGGTGCCCGGTATTCGTGCCGTCACTGCCCACGACCCTTTCTCCGTCGAGCGCTCCATCCTTAGCAACGACGCGCAGGTCCTCTGCATGGGCCAGCGTGTCATCGGTGTCGAGTTGGCTAAGAAGCTGGCCGTTGACTGGCTCAACTACCGCTTCGACCCCAAGAGTGCCTCTGCCGCCAAGGTCCAGGCCATTTCCGACTACGAGAAGCAGTTCTCCGGCTCTGCTTGAATGGGAGCTGGTTGATACTTGTCCACGGCTGTCGAGGCTGAGCAAAGCATTCGGGTTGTCACAGACCTAGGCCGGTTCTCGGTTCTGGGCTCCTGAGCCTTGCCCACGCTTGACGGCTTCTTTCCCTCTTCTTGGAGAGTTGATGCCTGTCAATGAATGGTTGACTGGCAAAGTATGCGACGCCTTCCACTTATTGTCTCTTTATACCAAGCGCATTATGATACCACGAACGACTTTCGAGTCCTGTTGTTTTGAGGTTGGGAATTAGATGATAGAGGCATTTCTATATACTGGTCCCTGTACATAGTACAATATATAGCCCTGCAGACTTGCAAAGCAATCCTGGTCCCCTATAATTCTCAACCCGACACTAAGAGTAGAGCAGTGTATTGTATACTTTCTTCAAACCGGAAAATCAACCTCGTGCTGACTCATCGGCCATTCTGCGGGGATCGATGACTTTCCATTTCGGGTATATCGGACTCTGCCAATCTATCGTTCTTTCCTTTAAGCTCAATGGAGCAAGCATCGCACTGGGGTTGAAACGCGCATCCCTGCTGTGATATGATATTCTGGTTTCGTTCAACCTATTTTATACTCCTTCATACCTTTATACAACGGCCCCTCGGTCTTCTGCACGGTGGGTCGCGCCCCACCTGGGGAACTGATTGATCAGCCACGCCTACGGAGTACTTTTTCCCTCTCTGCTCTCTCCTGCTCGTGGCCAGCCATTCATTCTTTGCGACAAAATGGCGCAAGCACTGAAGAAAAAGGGTAACGAATTCTTCGTTGAGGGTGACTACATTAGCGCCGAGGACTACTACTCCCAAGCGTAAGAACAGAGCCTCCCGCTTGCCTGCCACTCCCCCATTAACTCCTCCCCGCGTATCGCTCTCCATGCCCAGATATTATCACCACGGGCGAACATGACTCATACACGTCAAACATCAAATGCTGATTCTATCCTCTCACCAGTATTGCCAAGGACCCACACGATGCGACTTTCTTCACGAACCGCGCCGTGACCCGCATTAAGCTCGAGAAATGGGAAGACGTCGAGCACGATGCGCGCGCCGCAATTAACCTCTACGGCAAGAAAGATCCCGCCTCACTGAAGAGCAGCGTCTATCTCGCCGAGGCGCTGCTTGCCTTGAACCGGCCTCAAGAAGCATATGACCTTACCCTCACTGCCTACCAGTTCAGTCTCGAGGCCAAGCACGTTCAGACTGAGAAGTTGTCCGGGATGTTACTACGCGCTAAGAAGGCGTTGTGGGAAGCGCGCGAAACGGCACGTCTGCATGAGATGGACGAGACACTGAAGAGCTTGGAGGAGCTCATTAATGCGGATCTGGCGCGCTCGGAGGCGGAGCTGAAGAGTCAGCTGGAAAAGATGGAGATTGGCGAGGTGGGATACCGGGAGGATTTGAAAGCGCTACAGGAAGATGCGAGTACGAAGATCTCCCATCTTCGAGAAGCATTCAAAATCTCGTCAAAGGGAGATATTCAAGAGCGTGTAAGTAAACCTACGTTGTTCTCGAGCGCATACGTAGCTGGGACGTGACTAACATAGGAAACAGGTTGTGCCCGACTATCTTATTGACGGTATCACCTTTGAGGTCATGCACGACCCCGTCATGACTCCTTCCGGTACCAGCTTCAACCGCGGCGGTATAGAGAAGTACGTCGCAAAGGCGGGTGTAGATCCGATCACTCGAGAACCGATGACTGTTAAGGACCTGCGCCCGAACTATGCGCTCAAGGCGGCCTGCGAAGAATTCTTGACTAAGAATGGCTGGGCAGTGGATTGGTGATATCCTTCCTGGAGACTTCTCGCTGGAAAAATGGTTTCTTTTCTTTTGGCCCAGTTTTTTAGGTTTATTTGAGGTGCATAGCGAGCTATTCGAGAGCGTTTAGCGTTGGCATCTGCATCTTTGTTCTGTTAATTTGCATTGTTGGGCGTCCAGTAGACTATGGCGGTATGGGGATCTTCATTTGTTTTGAACAGTGTCAATTTACTGTACATCCCACACATTCAAAGACTCTTTTCCATTTCGATCCAAAGCTTCAAGCTTCTTATTAGACTCCGAACTATACGTGGAACCGTTGGCGCATCAACTGGCGGGTGAACTGTCAGCAGAAACCCCACCAAACCCCCCTCCTCAACAAACCCAGCTTCGATCATCCCCTCATCCCACAAACTTCCAAACCTCCTTCAAACCACACGTCCTTCCCTTCAACAAACCTCTCAACCTTTCACAGCCTCACATTCACAATGTCTGATATTTCCGGTTTCATCACCGCCCTCGAGGCTGCCCAGAAGAAGGAGAAGTTCACCGCCGAGGTCCAGGACGCCGCCGCCGGTATTGACATTGCCGCCCTCAAGGCTGCCGTCGAGGCTGCCCTCGCCATGGGCGAGACCGACACCATCGCCGATGCGGCCCAGAAGACCGCTCTTAAGCAGGGCTTCGAGTTCGCTACCAAGGTCGTCATGATGCTGAAGACTGCTCCCGGTCCCTTCGAGAAGAAGGATCTCTACGTCAACTTCAAGGTTGCCAAGGGCGAGACCCTCGAGAAGCCCGGCATGTTCGATATGGTGGTATGTTGATGGCTCCACGGGATACTTGGATTTCCCTACCTCTTTATTTGCCATGAGAGCGCTTTTTGCTAATAGATGTTTCTTTCTGCACATATAGAAGAAGCAGCTCTACGGTGCCTGGGAGGCCGTCAAGCACTACTCCCCCGAGAAGGCCCAGGCCCTCTACATCCAGCACGTTAACGAGTTCATCGGCAAGTACGGCACTCGCGACGAGTAAATTCTCTCCTACTAGACGAAGGTCAGGGAGCGAGGGTCAGTGGTGGATTGGGGTTTTCCTACGGGAGAACCGGCTAGCTTGACTATAATACACATGGAGTCGAAGGCTAAGCGGAGGACTATTGAATATCCTATGAGTTGATTTTGGCTAGATATGAAGCGACGCATCTCATCAACGAGCTACCCCGGGCGCTGTTGTCTTGTATATAAGAATGCCGAGGGTAACCGTTTGTTTGTTTTTTTTGACTTGGTTTCGGTAAAAATGTGGATTGTAGACCATGAAGAGGTAGACTATGTAGGATGGCGACGTTTGGTGACGAGTTAGCGGTGATATACCACCATCACGTTAATTAATCCAACTTTGTCCGCGCCAGTCCGGCGTGGGGTGCGAGGCTGATGCACACCACGGCTCATCCGAGGCGCTGTACGGCGTCAGCGGGAGGTCATACGGCATTCGGAACCCAACCACGGTCCGAGACTCGCCCTCGGCCACATGATCCGGTTGTGCAATATCAGGCCGATCGTGTTTGAAGCAGGGCACCATCAGTGCAGTCACGGATCCTGCATCCTTCGAGTCGGCGGGCTTCTCATCCAGAAATAGCTCCGGCCAAACTACAACACCAATCTCCCAGCTCGATATCCTCACCTCACCACTCTGATTCACTCCCGCTCCCCAGGCTTGTGTGGACAAGTTCGCAGACGTAACCATCGCCCAGTCAATGCTGTCCATAGTCTCCGCGTCCGTATACCGGATATACGTCTTGATGTGAGGTGCTGCACGAGCCCGACCAGCCTCTCGCTTCCGAGGAGTTTCTTCTGATAGATCGATGCAATTGGACGTAGATGAGCCATCGCCGGCCCAGTGACAGAGGTGTGGTCGCATGTATTGCAATTGTTTTTGTTGCGGTGCGGTCTGTATTTTCATGTGTATCGAGCCGCCCGAGCCGTAGCCCTCTAGCGAGCGGCGGATCTCGTCGGGGGTCGGAAATAGGATGGAGTATTTGGGCTGAGGGGCTGTTGGTGTTGGAGCTAGGGCTTTGAAAAATACCTCTTTGAGCCATTTGTCTGTCTGACCGAGAGAGGCTATCGAGGAGATCTGGTCGATGTTAGATAGTGTATTCTCATGTAGGCAGGGATTATCGCACCTGTATAGCAATATGCGGTTGCATGGTGGGCTGCTGATTGCCATTTCTAGCTTTTGCTTGCACTGAAATCCGGCTCGTGACATCTCTCAGGGCTGGCCATCCCCATAGTGTAGCTTTGTCGGAATCCAGTTTGCTATACATTTGCTTGGAAGGTGTACTAGCGACAAGGGAAGCACGAACTGAGTCAAATTCAAACCGATTGAGTTCCTGGACTAGCGGTCCTGTTTTCTTTGGACCGTATACTCTAAGATAGGATAGCAGATCTCTCTTGAACCTCGCGCCAGTTGCAAAACCTGGCTTTATAGAGGCTGTTGCCGGGGTACCGGGCTTTTGTAGTGGAAGCAATGGAGATCGCCATACTGCTTGAGTCATATTTGCCCAGTCTCCATGGATCATATTTGCGGTATGGATCACGACTCTGTCACACGTTAGAACCCTATTTCAAAATTGCGGAGCTGCAAGAGACACCAACTGGGCGAGATTATCATGTCGCAAAAGGATCATCATCTTGGAATGGTGCGTCCCAAATCGCTCAGGCATGTAGGCGATGATAGGCTCAACGTTTGGGTATCGGGAGCACGCTTCCTAGTAATCGGGTCAGCTTCCCCTTGGCTAGTGTCTATTTTGATATTTACCTCAACCCGAACTCGGTTCGCAGATTCCCGTTCCCATGAGCCGTGAACCACTTTGACCTTGACCAGGCTCCGGACATCCTCGTCAAAGTTGGACATGAGAAAGTCCACATCGAAAAGATAATTGAACTGCCAACACTCTCGGATCATCGGGTCACCGAGGATATCACGTAACTTAACCGTGTCGACATTGTATCCTCTCTGCTCTGCAAAGTCACGAATATGTGTGAGCTGTACTGGAGATGAGATGACACGATTCGACCTCGTGTGATCCGTTTGCTTGGGCTTGAGATCTTCGGCTTGGTCGCTCTTCAAATCAGAACACAAGGCACTGGAGACTGCTCGTGGTTGTGAGCGAGCCCTGGGAGGTGGTGTGATAGACCGATGCAGGGAAGCCAGAGGTGTAGAGACTCGACCTGGTACCGTATCCTCTTCTCCAGCCAAGTCCGGGGCTAGCCGGGCTCTTTTCACTGGGCGCTCCATTGGAGGCGGCCCTGAGATCCCAATATGAGTACAAGGGCGTTGCAGCAAAGTGAAAGAACTCGAAGGTCGCAGGAAGTTGTACTTGATTTGCCGCGAGTGGTAAGCCACGTGACAGAATTCAGGTAATTTCTGGTACCACAGCTTGGTTAAATGCCAGGGGCATCCAGTCATGTGTGATGGTGATTATTGACGTGTAAATTGAAGGAGGCTCTTTGGCGATGGCGGATGAAGCCAAGTCCGACGGGCTTCTATCCCATCCGATCCACTAGCCCCAGAGATCATGCGATTTGATGATATTGACACAGATAGCCAAAATCTATAATGCTCTGTATCCGTCAATACCGGCCGGCAAATTTCCAAGAAACGAGATACATACCAACTTGGTTGCTGTCATGCCTATGGGTTATTATTCTGCCGGGCGAGACCGCCGATATCGAGGTACACTGCCTGTTTGGGTTTAGCGCGTCTTTTATACACCTATATATATTACTCGGCGCTGTGTTCTACTGGAAATAATACACACGACCTGGAAAATGACAACAACTTACGTTTGGTAGTGTCCTATTGTTCGACCAAATCTCACATATGCGGCTCCTACATAATCGGCTGAAAAGATTAGGCAAGCTTAGTGAGATCTTAAGTACCTTACAAAAACTCGCACCCACAAATGGCTCGCTGTGATCGATTATGCCCGAGATTTATGCCCGAGATTTATGCCCGAGATTTATGCCCGAGATTTTCTCCTGGAAGCGAGCCCCCATAAGACACAATGCTTCTAACATTATAGTTCAACATATGTCACGAGTGACCATTTAGGATCAGCCAGCCTCGGCTCTCCCAATCAGGAAGTTACACCGGCATTGAGCAGCAGTTTCATATAGTGCGATACTACCCTCGGAGATCACAACGCATCGCACACTTGGCCAGTTCTTTCCAACCTAACCCATTATTATGCGTCTTGAGCACGCGAAATGAATTCCAATTCAACACTTAGGTCAGGGGCAATAACCGGCTCCAGATCAAGAGTCTCTGGCCTCGGCCGAGTTCCACCAGCGTATCGCATATCATATCGCATAACCAGTTCGCCAAGGATCGTTTTCAAGAGTTTGATGGAGTAGAATCGGCCGGGGCATGCTTGACGGCCATGCCCAAAACTTTGATCAAGTTAGTAGAGCGACAGAGACGGATGGAAGCAGACACATACGCAAGCCAATCATTTCGAGTATCCTCTTTAGCCAGGTCTGTTAGATATGAGAACTCAAGAAGACGGTATAATAAATGCTTACTGATGTTCGATATTCTCCCTGCTTGATGCTCTTCCTCTCGCATCCGGTAGAACCGGAACCCGTCGAACTTGTCAGCGTCAGGGTAAATGTCGGAATCATGTTGCATGTACATCGTGGGGAAGGTAATCAGAGTTCCCTTCGGAAGTACAAGGTCATCATCAAAACTGAAACTGTCACTAGCAACGAGACGCCATCCTGTCACTGCGTGCAGTGTTAACGGTGGAAGATAATTTTGTCTTGCGAAACTTACAGGAGACAATCCCTGGGGTTATCCTGAAGCACTCCTGGATAAACGAGTCGAACTTCTTCATCTTGGCCATTGAGCTCTCCGACCACCCACCACCACTCTCTGCAAGACATTCAGTAATCTCAGCTCTCACCTCACTCAGGTAGTCACTGTGAGTAACGGTGTCAAAAAGCAGGTTAACCAAGACAGTTGCAGGTGTCCCAATAAGCCCTGCGCTGAGATGCAGTAGTCGGTGAGCAATTTGCTCTGGCTGTTTCAAGTCATCAGGAATCTCCTGATCCATGGCCCACTGGATGCAGTCAACCGGCTTATCCTCTTCGTGCATTTCTTTCTGCGCTCGCTTTCTTTCCGCAATATGATCGGTAACAAACTGGGTCGCAATGGCGAGATCCCGACGATGTTTCCAATGAATCAGATACATGATATAATTCCTCAGAGGACCCAGGTTGATCCACCGGAGGATTAAACCATAGTACATGACCTTAGTAGAATACCGTTCCATTGCCTCGAGGAAAGCAGGATTCTCGACGAGCTCTGCACCAAACACAACCCGTCCAGATACGTACTTCATGATTTTCATGGCAAGGGTATGGGCATGTATACGCTTCCATTCCTTTGGGCTGCCAATCTCTTGATCCAAGATTTCCTCAGTGCGAATTTGTATCAAAGGTTTGATATCGGCTGGAAATCGTCATCCGTCAGCAAACATTCGAATAAAAGGTTTGTATCCTTTCCGACGTACACAAGTTCCCATTCACCAGCTTGGATGCGACTTGAATCTCGAAATTATCAAAGTGACCGCTTGAAAATTTGGGAACGAGATACTTCAGCCGTCAGATTAGCACGCGTTATGCCACTTCAGGAAGGATCTTACCGTATCAACAACGGACCGAAAGCTCAGCTCGGATAGACCCTGGTTTTTGATTCGAGACAGGTACTTTGGCGGCAAGATGTAGACCCAGTTTTGGAACAGGCCCATCCAAATCTTGAAAGGCTTGCCATTCTTACTATACTATTGGGCGGAATTGAGTATTCACCTGGATACCGACGGAGAGATATTCCCTGCACAGGACGGGATGATTGCGGGCTTACTTTGTAGTACCCTTCTCTTGCATATGGAAAAAGTCTGGGAAAGAAAAACCTCCAGTATGTTCCCGACATGTAGGCATCGACGATTCTAGAGCGACTGATGGCAGGAATCTTTTTCAACCGATAAGGGTCTGTCTCGGGTAGGAGGTAGACTCTTATCAGGTAGAGGGTGAACAGCGTAACAAGAGGGACGACATAGTTGACTGCATCACCGAATTTGGTTCCTCCTGTACAAAGGTGATATTTGTTCAGCTACCAAATGCGTAGATGAGATGAAGCAACTGTACCATTGAGGGTAATATGGGTGGCGTTCTGCAGAATATCCATGATCAAGTCAAGTTTTGGAACTTTCAGGATAGAAAATTTCGATAGTAAGATCAGAGCAACCCATCTAGCTCTTAGTGAAAAGGAAATCTCTATATAAATTTCCAGATTTGAATCATTCCCGTCACATCGCCCACAAATGACGAGAGTCGGGGAAAATGCCCGCAACCGCCCTTCCCTCCGCCATTGTTTCTCGTATGTTACTCTCCATATCTCTGACTCTTTCCACCCAGCTCCTGCTGCATACACGAGCAAGCTGCTTAAAAATCTCGTATTGTGTCCGCCTAGTTTCGTACGGTTACATCGAATGCACCCAGTCTCCGTCCGTTCAAGAAATACGAGATTCTACCCAATGACACTCATGGGATCTACATGAAGTTTGGCAAGCTTGACGAGTCTATTGGGACATGCTCATGCACTCTGCAGATCCATCAACCGATCATCAATGATCGATTTTAACTTTCCGCGGCCATATGAATGCTGCGTTTAAATCGCACCAATGACTAGCTTCGAAGTATTCCACGTCGTTATCTACACTGCAGGGATAAGGACGCTGTGGCCCACCAAGGTACAGATGGATGAGGGGCAATACGGGCGAAAGGCCGAGCATTATCCTAAAGCAGACCTCTTCGCGCTACCGTGCCACCTGTGCGCACGCTTTAATGGATAGGAAGATGGTGTGCACGGTCAAGGGATGCCATTTTTCTCGTGTTGATAATGGGTGGGAAATCGGATACGAGTGGAGGAAGGCGACGCCCGATGAACGGAATCGACCGAGCTTCGACTAACTAGCATACAACAGATGAAAAATAGCCGATATCTGACGCAGATACGAGATCCAGTTTGGCGTATATATAATCGGTGTGATAAGTTAAACGTGGTTACGTGTCTCGTTTGCCAGCAGATACTAAAGCTTGCCTCTGCGCCTCCAATATACCGTAGGTTGTCGGTGATATTGTCATTACAAGGTCATTCAAATATGGATTTCCTTTCTGGGGCTTTTCACTACTCTGACTCCGTGAATCCATCGAAATACTCTCCTCGGCCATCTGACTACTTTGGCACTTTACCTTTTCGCACATCTCGGTTTGAGCGTGAAGCTGCAGATGTTACAGCAGACTATCTTGAAAAATGGCAGAAGGCCGTCAAAGCAGACGATCCGGAAAGGAAGGACCTTTTCTTTCACGGAAGCACCACAAATCTTGGTCATTTTGTCTCCTGGGCATATCCCGAATGCATACCGGATCGGGTAGACCTTTGTACACAGATCTGTGATTTCGGATTCTATTGGGATGGTATGAACTTATGCCCTCTATATCTCCCTTTGCCTCCTGTGTCTGCAAATAGTGACTTGAAATATTTAGATGTCACCGACTCTGTGAACGTTCAGAAAAATGCCGAAATCACCCAGGACCTCGCCCTTGCTCTACTATCCGAGTTGACTTTGGGCCAACGGCTGGAGCCAAAGCTTGAGATCAACAAAATTGTTGTACAAATGCTGTGGGGAGTCCTGGATAAAGATCGAAAGTCCGGCCTTGAGATGATTAAGTTTTGGAAGGGTCATCTGGATGGTCAAGCAGAGAGTGCGCATAATAATATGTCCTTTGAAGAATATACGAAGCATCGGCTTTCCGAGGTAGGGGCCAGGTATGTGGACGAATTTCCTTAGGACTAATTTCATTGATTCAAGCAACAGGCTAATTAGTTTCAAGGTGGGCGGTTGAAGTTGGATGTTGGTCCCTAGGAATCAATCTATCCCGGGAGAAGAAGGATTCCGTCGCCCATTTCGTGAATAAAGGACTGCTAGCGGCTGCCTTGATGAATGACTACTATAGCTTCAACAAGGAATTTGATGAGCATCAGCGAGCCGGGTCCATGAATCGGCTACAGAATGGACTCGGGATCTTGATGCGCGAGTATGGGTACACGGAGACTGAGGCACGGAGTATCCTGAGAGAAGAGATTCGTAAAGGAGAAAGGGCTATCATGGACGGATATATTGCCTGGCGTGAGAGCGCCGACTCCAGTTCCGAGTCCCATGAACTCAATAGGTATATTGTGATGATCATCCTCATGATTGGGGGGATCACGTTTTGGAGCTCGCATGCCTCTCGATACCACCGTGACGACCTGATAACAACAGCCGATGATAGGGCTATGATTGTTGGCAAATTCCAATGTTCGCTGCGGGTCTTTGATGGTTACCCCCCGCCAAAGCGCTTGAAGAGCGCAACCAGCTCAAATGATATGTCAGGGCGCAAACGAAAGAGCTGGTCGGATTCCAACGGTGTTGATACTCATGGAGCTTGCTACACTAATGGGTCCAGCAATCGAGCAAAACGCAATGGAACTGAGGCTGTTCACAAAGCGAATGGACGTGACTCCATGGATGTTTACACAGCTCCATTTCTGAAGGCTCCGAGTGAAGTTTGTCTCTCTCTTTTCTCCCCCAAAATCAGTATTTACAATTATACTAATAAATCCATGTACCTAGGTCTGCGAAGCGCCCTACGAATACATCAACTCACTCCAGGGTAAAAATATGCGAAATAAGTTCATGGATGCTCTAAACCACTGGCTCCGTGTTCCTGCTCCATCTATGCAAATTATCAAGAACATCGTTCAAATGCTACACAATTCGTCTTTGATGTAAGCACCACTATAAATTACCCCATTCAAGCATGTCTAACTTCGCAGGCTGGATGACATCGAGGATGCGTCGCCTCTACGAAGAGGCCAACCTGTAGCACATACGTTCTATGGAATAAGCCAGACCATTAACAGCGCAAACTTCGTCTACGTCAAATCCGTAAAGGAGACATCACGCTTGAACAACCCAATGTGCATGGAGATATTCACAGGTAAGCTGCCGACCTCTCTAATTAGAGATAAAACACTAAATGTAAAACCAGATGAGTTAAGCAACCTTCACACCGGCCAAAGCCTCGACCTCTACTGGCGCTATCATGGTAGATGCCCGTCCATCAACGAGTATATTATGATGGTCGACAACAAAACCGGAGGACTCTTTCGACTCATGCTCCGTCTCATGGAGGCAGAATCTCCGGCTGCCTCGTCAGCCTCCCTGGTCAAGCTCCTGACGTTAACAGGGAGGTACTACCAAATTCGAGATGATTACCTGAATCTTACATCTGTGGAGGTTTGCCAGCCGACTGACCCATGATAGGTGCGCGAGGACAAAGCTGACCGCCTTGAGTAGTACACGTCCAAGAAAGGCTTCTGTGAGGACCTAGACGAGGGCAAGTTCTCTCTTCTATTATTGCACCTCTTAAACCACACACGGCATCCGGACCGCATCACTGCGCCTCTATTTAATCGCGCGTCTGGAGCCAGGGATTTGGCGCGAGAGGTCAAGGTCCATATTATCCAGGCTATGGATAAAGCCGGGACGTTTGAGTACGCACAGGGTGTATTGAGATATCTACACGAAGAAATTATGAGAACGCTTGATGAAGTGGAAGCGGATTTGGGAAGAAACACTGAAGCGAGAATCCTGTTATTAGGCCTTGGACTTTAGGTCGGCAACCAACATAGCATTGTTTGTGTCATAGAAGAACCTTGTTTGGCTGTTCAACGAGCATAAATGTATACTTGGGTAGTCATAAAGGTCGCAAGTGTTAAAAATTCACCATTCAAGTTGAATTGGCAGTGTTTTGAAGGGTAGAAATGCGTAGTGAGAAACACGCGTGGTAGGTAGAGGGGCTATTATATCCAATGAAAGGTCGAATAGTCTATTCTGCTAGTTAATTGGCTAGTATAATACACTAGTAGGTAGATATACGCTAAAATGGCTTCCCGTGACGGTGAAGGGGATAAAGGATTCAAAAGATCACACTGTAGGAACGCACCTCCCATACGCGTATAGCATGATACATCATTCTTTGTGATTCCTATAGCTGTGATTTTACTGGCCAAGTTGTCCAATCGTATCGTAGCGAATGTTGTAGCGAGGTATGGGGATGCTGCTTGAAGGACCTATCCCATGAGGAAAAAGACATCGAGTCATATGTACATGTATGTCTTTTCTCGTCATCCTGTCGATATATACTTGCTCAAACGACCAATTCAACTTTACAAATATCCGACCCTCTGGTAGGTATTGATTTTGTCGTAGCGTAATAATTCGGAAATATATCTTCCCTCTTGGTTGGTCTGTAAACACACTGCATATCTGGGCAGAGCTCTTGAATTTACTTTTTGGGGAAATTCGGAAGTAATACATATCTACAAGAGATTCCGCATATAATTCTCAAAACAGTCTTGAGTTGGAGAAGACCTGAGAATCCAATGGTGCCTTAGCAAAACAGCATCGGCAAGACAGGATATAATTAATAGTTTCTCTAAGCGTGCCACAACCTGTCAAGTGTATGAACATGTAGCAAGAAAGAATGAGTTTGAGAAGTTAATATACATGTGCCTTAATATAGCAAGTGAGATCGACTCCCCATGTGTATCACCACATGAAGCGCTGAACCTTTCCAGGTTCCTGGCGCCATTCAAAGCCCTTGTATAAAAAGATATACCCGGTCACCGCATTAATGACGATGAACCACACAGTCTCCAGAAACTTCGGGAGGTTTGTCACAAAGTCAGCACAAGCCCTCTCCTCTTCACTCTGAGGTTTCTGTCGTCGGAACGCGGCAAGAGTTGACGATGGAGGTAGGTGAAGACGCCACATCACCCAAGGGATGATGAAGTACCGCGGCTCAACCAGAGGTGCTGTTATAAGAGACAAGGCTGTAGCAGCGAGCCATACAAGGACGAAGCTGACCCGTGGCACTTCGGGCTGTTCCTTCTGCCGCTGGATTAGAGACTGTTGAATCCGGGCGAGTACTTCCGGAGTGATGGGATCGGGTTGCTTTGGCTGCGTGCTCTCTTTCTTGGCCGGAGTCTTGCGCGCTCTAGCCGACTTTCTGGTGTCCTTGGTTTGCTCCTTTATAGGGACCTTGGGCGCAGGAGCTGCTGGCTTGGCGGTAGGAGAGATTTGAAGGAGACGGGGCGGGGCCGGAATGACTGAGAAGCCAAACGCCGAGATCACTGCCCAGCCACAGAGGAAGTATACGATGACTGCGGCATACTTGATGGCTGGGTGAACACCGAGGAGAAGGCGGAAAATATAGAAGACGTAGTGTCGGTTGTCGGCCAAAGTGAAAGGATGCACAATGGTGTTGAAATGGACAACAGCAAGCATCACTGGTACGACAATCAAAATCGCGAGAATGCTGGGAAGTCTCCGCTGTTTGTCGGGGAAGCCATAGTTCAGATATTTGGGCAGGAAATTCTTAGGGAGAAGAACGTTCAGCACGTGGATGACCAGAATCGGCCAAGAAAAGAATGCAAAGTAAGGCCAGATATAGAGCATCTGTGCTAGGTGAATGCCAGCAGTATGGAACTCTTTGTGGCCTATGTGATAAATTATTAGCTTGTGATATTCAACATTTCGACATAACACCCTGGAAACTCACCGAGAACCACACCATCATTCCACAATACAAACGCGCCGAATGCACCGAGGATGATGATGTGAGGAATGACGGATGCCACAATCGAGAAAAAGTTCTTCAAGGTGGCCGCTGCAAGAGAAAGACCCGTCTTGAAATAATCTAAAGTACACGCATTACATTAGCCTGATGCAGTCACTCTTACCCGAGAATCTGCACATACCTTGCAAAGAAGCCTCGGAGACGAGGGGGTCATAAATCTCATTCTGAAGCCCACTCTTGAATATTTCATAGAGATCAGAGGATTTGCAGACCTTGGCGGAGTGCCGTATCTTTCGAACAACCTGCAGCCCTCCCAAGAACAAAGAGACCCAAAAGATGTTCGTTTGCCGGCATACCAACGCCGCCAAGCCAAACACTAGGAATCCCAAAGTAGAGAAAAAGGTATAGCCATTTCCAGAGGCCCGCTTCAGATCCCAATTGTATGCCTCGACGACTGCCAACAATGCTAGGATGTCGGTATAGTATAATCCAGAGAAGAAGAACAGTGGGGGGAACAGGCAAATGTTCAAGACCGTGTGGCTGAGCCATGCACCCAATGGCCGAGTATTCCGGACTTTATGAATCGCATCCGAGAGAGTCTGCAATCTCCAAGGGAGGAATATACCCGTCGTTGCAACGTTGGTCGTGCGCAGAGCTTCGGTATCGAGTTTGGTCGGCGAGCCGCGGAGCGCAAGCAGGATAGCGCAGAGAGCATATGACCACAGGTATAAGCCCGGGGGAGTGGTCAGTTTCGGATCCCAATGGCTCCATTGGTGCGCCCAGTAGGCCTGGGCCTGCGGGATGTGGAATACTTCATCCAGGTATGGTTCGGGGACTTCGGCATTGATCTTGGTCCTCCAGACGGGGATGAGAAGTAGGGCGAATGGCACGGCGTAGCGCGCCGCACGGCTGAGATTTGACTCAGGAGCTGAACTCATCTTCTCATGGCTTTAAGGATCGGACCAGATGTAGTACAGATCTGCGGAAATTGAAAGCTCTCCTAAAAAGGAAGAGGACAAGGTGGGCTGGAAGCTAAGCTTCGGGTGCAAACAATCCAAACTCCGCATTTGGCAATCGTGGAGGCGCGATTTCGCGCATTTCGCGCCTCCGCCGCCACCAGAGTGCAGCAAAGAAAACATGGGGCTAAGACGGTAATCATCAATTTGGCTTTGTTCTTCTTTCTTTGATTGATTTGGACTGGCTTTTGCTGTTGTGTACCCCCAGTCATGGCCTTTCCTCTTCCGCGGGGCATCACGGCCTCGGAGATCGCCTTTCTGGCGGAGATGGAGACGGTGACGATTGTACCTCGCCAGCGCCTGGAAGGCCTGGAATTGCTCGGGGTAATTGGACTTTTCCTTCGACGCAAATCTAACATCCCAATTGACCTTTCATCTTTCATCCAGGGCCCAGTTGAACCTCTTGTCCCACCGCGACGCGCCGCGCTCCCTCTCTGGCTGGCCCTTTTACTCAAACGCCAACGCCGCGCCAACATCATGCCGCCTCCGTGGTTACACCCGGATTCTCTCAGTCTGATCCTCGAAGTCGAGTCCCAACACCAAGATTATAAGAGTGCCTTCTCACCACCTCCACCGCTGCCAGGTCAGCCCAGCATTCGAGATCAAGGTCTCGAGCCAACTGCGCGGCCGCAATACACATTGGACGGCAATAGATACTACGCCGCGCCGCCATTTCTCCCACAAAATACCGCACAGACTATACTCTCCTCTCGAGATCCTCCCGCACTTCCATACCATTGGGTTGAGGTTGGGAATATGCTGCTTGACGCTGCGAGTGACGATCTGGTGGACCCGGATCAGATCCGACGTTTACTGAAAGATCTTCGAGAAGTACGCATGGCCAAGATGAGATCTGGCGTAGACGTCTTGGACGATGCCGCGATAGGCGGTGGCGGGGTTGCGCTGACGGGTGTCGGTGCAATGGAATTAGGCGAAGAGCGAGGGTTTTTGGCCGGTGTAGTAGATGGCCTTCGGTATGTGACACTAATCATATCATCCGGGAAGATCTTACTGACCTGTGTAGCAAAATTGGCGCCTCCAAAGAACAAGCTCGCCGCGAACAATTGGCCGAACAAAGAGCCAACGGAGATTATGATGGAACTCAGGACGAAGAGGAAGAAGATTACATGGAGTTCTAAAATGCATGGGATTTGTTGTTTGCTTTTTTTGGATTGGAGTTCAGGTGCATCTTGCGACGCGGATCAATGCCACTCGAGAAACGTTATTTATGTATATAGAACCCAAATACCCGATTTTGACCTGATCTGAGAAGGACCGGTGCTAATGTAGACCAAGGCTGTTCCGAATTACCTAACACCATATAGCATGCAAAGATAAGGCGCTCGAATACAAAATGAGGGTTGGTAATAATAAGACCGCAGCGATGAGAGGTGAACAGACACAATATTGGACAAGGGGGACATCTTGTAAGACCAAATGGTCCTGAGCAGAGCCGCAGCACATCGGGGTGAGCTAAACATCGCCACTATTTAGAGAAGAAATCGGCTGTGTTCATTGGGTGTTTCCCTGGTCTTTTTGCATCATCTTCCTCCGCGCCGCGAGAATCATCTCATCCCGACGCTTCTGCAGCAACCGCTGCCGCTCCTCCTTATTCTGAGACCATGCGCTCGCAGACACTGGGGCGGGAATCGACTCTGCGGAGCTATCGGCCGCAATCTTGCCGCCCAAATTATATCGGGAGATCAAGTCCTGCGCAACTCCCTTTGACGCCGATGCAGTTCTCGTGGCCTGCGTGGATTGGGCGTTCGCTGAGGGAATGGCGATCTGTGGCTGGAATGATGGTGGTGGCTAGTAAATCCAAATCAGCAAATGCACGAGAAGCAAATCATTCAACATTTCCCCACGATATCTAGAAGCCGAAACCGGCAGCGATAACCCTCCGAGAATGTTGACGATCATATAGTAACAACAAAACAACGTACCGTTTCCAGTCCGCGGCCAGTCAAAATCCGCTCCGTCGTCGCCGCAACACTACCCCCATTGCGCTGCAAATCCCACATGATATCCCGAGTGCTTAGCTGTGGGAACATCTGGGAGATCTGCTCGACCTGCGCCGGGTCAACGGCATTTCCTCGCCCGCGGGGCCTGCCGCCAGCTGAAGAACCCTCATCACGGTTGAGGAACCATCGCAGCACGAAGAATGAGACAACCGCGAGCGTGAGGAGGGACGGAATATTCAAAGACGGCTCGTCTTCCTGCATTTTGACTCGGGGACTGCGAGGCGCAGATTATCGGTCTGAAGGATTGGGGTATGACTCAAGTAGGTAGCCGAAACCAGAGTCCGGGCCGTAAGGACGGAGAGATTCCGAGACAGGTATGTGGTCGTGTGAGATGAGCAGAAGAGCGTGTGCGTAGAATGCTGTGATGTGATTACCGACTATGCGGTGGGTTATTCGAGCGCGTCGAGGGACTGACTATGAGGGTCGGCGGTGTCGGTGGCGGCGGCGAGGGACGGAGTGACGGAGTGACGGAGTGACGGAGGTTCGGGTCGGAGACCGCGGGCACGTGCCGATAGCTGGGATACTGGCCTAGGCAAACTAGAGGACAAGGTGAGGGCCATGCCAGAGCCTATATATTAAGGATAGATAAGATCAGGGGTGTTTCTGGTCTATTACAGGCTTCTTTTAACAACCCTGCTATCTGATGCTAATTCTAACCCGTCTGTCCAGAAGAAATCTTGACCTGGTAGTATTGTTGCTCGACTGAGTATACAACTATGGGCCAGAACGAGAAATCATGAAAGGGCTCCTGGATACCTGGGCCATGCGATAGACGAAATGGGAAATAAAAAAAGAGAGAATGTCCCAAAGGAATCAGGAATATAGAATTTACATGAAATCCCAAGAGTACTCTCTAATGGAAGATCCCTGAGGCCTCGCAGAATCAATGGCCAGCACATGCATACGTCATAAACAAAACAAAGCAGATCCATTCCCATCCAAAGACCAAACCAAAGTATGAATCAGAAGCCAAACACCAGCTGCCCCACACCAATGGGCTGCAGAAGAGCAATGCTTCACACCGAATTATCTCCATGAATCAAAAAAACGCAACAGAGACCGTGACACACGTTGTAAGCAAAGATCATTGAACTCATTTCATATCGGCGGGTGTCAGCGCCTGGACAATACTCGTCCCCTCGCTGAACCGAGTACGGAAAATCCGGTTGGCATTTTGGAACATGCCATCCTTGAGCGAAACAACGATGAACTGGGATCCCTTGAATCGAGTCTTGATCAGTCGTCCAATATTCTGGGTATGAGACAAATCCAGAGCGGCATCGACCTCGTCGAGAATGTACATCGGAGCAGGCTTGAATTGCAGCAGGGCCATGATAAGGGACAGAGCAATAAGAGATCTGCAAGGAACAAAAGCGTTAGCCATTGTCAGATGATGAGAAGATGGGGCCAAAGCATACCGTTGTCCACCACTCAGCTCCGTCAAACTCTGCTTCCAAACCTTGCCCAGAGACACCTTCACCTCCAGACCATCCGTGATATCCTTGCCTTCCGGTGGGTCGAGCTTGGCAAAACTACCAGGGAGAAGTTCATTGAAGATCTGACCAAAGTCTCCATTGACCTTGACCCAAGTCTTATGGAGAGCCTCCTTCTTGTACTCATTGAGGTTAAGGATAGTCTCCTCGATCTTGCTCTTATCGCGGATGACCGTCCTCATCATGTTTTTAAGGGCGGCTTCTTTCTTCTCGACACTATCGATCATGTTCATAACCTTCGGGTTGATCTTCTTCTTCATGCCTTGGGATCGTTCGGTCAGATTGCGCAGTGTTGACTTGCACTCGGCAATGTTCTGGTTCTGGAAGTGGTATGGTGTGTTCGGGCGACCGAATTGCTCTTTCTCATCGGCAATCCATTCGTGCTCTTGTTCCATGTGGGACACGGCCTGGGCAGCCGTATGCTGGTCTTTCTGAAGTTTGTCGAGCTGATGGCCGAGCTTCTGCATCTCCAAGCCCTCTTCGGTGATCTGCGATGACTTGGATTGAATTGCTTCATCCAGCTCTCGCAATTCCTCGTCGAAGCCAGTCAGCTTGGCCCGCTCGTCTTCAAGCTGGGCTTGCGCGATGTCGTGGGCATCCTATAACAGTTAGTCTAGTGCTCGTGAAACAGAGGTGAAGAGTGAAATTACCTTGAGGCGTGCTTGCTCACGCTTCAGGGACTCAATCTCCTCCACTTGCGCTTGAAGCGTATTTTCCGACTCGGCAAGCTGCTCCTCAGCTGCAGAGAGGTCACTGCCAACCTGCTCACAGTCAAGACGGGATGATTGCAGTTCCTTCTGAAGCTCCTTGACAGATGCAGAGTTCTTCGTGAGATTCTTCTTGAGGGTATTGAGGGAATCTTGCAGCTCGGCCAACTTGTTGTCCTTGTTGTTGGTGAATTCGCTCATATCCTTTTCGATGCGCTTAATGTCCTTGTTTGCTTCGGCATGGCGATCCTTGGCATCGGTAATATCTTTCTTCAGCTGCTCGATATTCGCCTTCATCTCTTCGACGGCTTGGATGATCTATGTAGTTTACCGGGTTAGTTAAAACGTGCAGCGAAGATTGAACGTTAAATACGTACCGATGAAGAGGAGTTGCTGTTAATTTGCTCCTCAGTGAGCTTGATCTCATGGGTCTTGAGATCCAGCTCCTGCTTGATGGATCGAACAGCATCCAGCTTCTTTTTTTCCTTGTTCATGTTGTCCTCAAGGGCGGCAAGTTGGCGCTCCTTGCTCCGCATCTCCTTGGTGATCTCATTAAGCTTCTGCAGGGTGACCAATACTCCGCTGGAGTTGGGAGAGCTACCACCGGAGAGTGTTCCTGAGGGGTCGTAGACATCACCATCCAGGGTGACGCTCTTCATGCGAACAGAAGGATCAAAAGTCACCCTCTTGGCAGTGTCGGCATCGTGGCAGATAAGAGTGTTGCCAAAGACATAGTTCATAGCAGAGTTCACTTCCTCGTCGTATCCGATCAGAGACAGAGCGAGGTCGACCTTCCCAGGTGCAAGATTCTGGGCAGCTCCGATCTTCTCTGCGGAAGCCTTGAAGGCCGAAATCTTGTTCAGAGGAATAATGGTAACGCGCTTGCGCAGTTTGCCGTTCTGGAGCAGTTGAGTACCGGTTTCGGCGGTATCAACGACCACGTTATAGAGGCGACCACCAGCGCAGATTTCCAGAGCAGTAGCTGCTGCAACTTGATCTTTGTTCAAAGTAAATAGCTGCGCGACCAAGCCCTTCACCTTGGACCGATCGAACCGAGGGTGGGGGTCTTGATAGTTGAAATCAATGTTTGCGACCTTCCTCCTCAATCCATCCGCTCGCTGACGGAGCTCGCGAATGTCTCGCTGGAGGCCGGACTGCTCCTGGTAGATCTGCTCCTCCTTGCCGGGCTCAAACCCGAGTCGAGTGAGCTCTGATTCCAGCTTTTTGGCTTGTGATTTCAAACCCTCCAGGTCCTTCAGAAGCCCGTGATTCTGCTCTTTTGCTTTCTTGGCGCGTGGCTCCTCCTCCTTGATCCGCTTCTCGAAGTTGCTAATCTTGAGTTTCGCTTGTTCTTGTACCGTGGCGGCGTTGCTGGCTCGGTTTCGGGCATCTTGTAATTGGCCTTGGTAGCCGCTCTCTTGACCTTCCTTTGACGCAACACCGGTTTGTAGTGTCTGAAGCAGTTCCTCCTTCTGCTCCACCTCCACATTTTGCGCATCAAGCTCTGCCTTGGCGGCATCGTACCGAGCCTGTAGCTTATCGTATACCTTCCTCTTCTCTTTCAAGGTCTTCTCGAGATCGCTAACAGACTTCTGCACGGCGTTCTTCTTCTCCTTCTCCTCTGCCATGCTAGCATTCTTCAAATCAAAGACGGTTGTCAGGCGAACCAACTCGTGTGAATGATTCTTGACTTCATCCTCGAGCGCTTGGAACTTGCCACCCTTTCGAAGCTCCTTGTCGCGCGCTGCCCGGACTCGCTTGACATCCTCTTCCAAGTGCGCAATTTCGCTTTTCAGCCTGTCAGCATTCTCTTCCAGTGACTGGACCTTGCTCCTCTTCTTATCACACTCCTCGCCCGCAACCTGCAAGCGCTCTCCGCCCCGTACATAGTCGTGGGCCACCACAAGTCGAGTCAAGCGCTCCAGATCGTTTTGCGTCTGCTGAAAGTCCAGGAAAGCACGTTTCTCAGACCGGAGCTTCTCGAGCTTGGGCTCAATCTCTTCCTTTAGGAGCTCCTCAATCTCGCGGAGTTTCAATTCCTTTTTTCCCATTGTCTTGATCGCCTTCTCCCTCCGATCCTCGAACATTCGTGTTCCTGCAGCTTCCTCTATCATCGACAGAATCTCAACTGCCTTCATGTTCAGGACCTTGGTGATGCGACCCTGCATAATGAGGAAGTTGGGGTTGTTGATATTGAGCTGGACACTCTGGAAGAGGTTCTGCACCGTCTGCTGCTGTGCGCGGTGGCCATTGATCAGGTACTTGCTGGTACCGCCCAGCACGATCTGACGCGTAACAGAGATGTTGGCATACTCTTCGAATCCAATGGGCGACTTCGCCGTGTCGCGGTTGTCGAATACAATGGTCACGCTGGCCTTGGTGACACCAGCTTGACCGCGCTTATAGATGAGGTCCTGGAGGTTCTGCGCGCGGACGGTGCTCATGTTCGTGATACCGAGAACAAAGCAAATGGCATCGAGAATGTTGGATTTACCGGAACCGTTGAGACCGGTGATCGAATTGAACGCTTCGTCCCTAGGATATTCTGTCAGTATTGCCCGATCGTCAGGCCCTTTGCGACGATGCTATGGACGGAGAGAGTAGGCCGGCGCACCATCCCGAGATCACCGTTCGCACGGCGTACGATTTGAAACCCTGGCGAAATTTTGTTAGTACAACTAGCCAACCGCATCAATTCCAACTAGTGACTCACGTCTATCACAATTTCGGTGATCCGCATGGTGATGACTGCGAGTCGGCTCGCTGGCGGAGTACATCGAAAGTCGGGGAGGGCAGAAGAGGGGCGCGAGTTGTTTTGCCGCAAATCATGTGTTTATGGATTGCCCGTTCGGGCCTAGCTCTATCTGGATGATGTAATCATCATAAGTCACGTGTGTCATCTATACTCTCGGCCACTTTTACAGCAAAAGTCTCCGTTTATGCAGCCAGTCAAGCTCAGCCCCCAAAAAGGCTGACGTCTATGTATTTTGCATTGACTTAGGCCCCCCGAGGAGACCAATCCCGACTGATGCACTGCCAGGCTATACCCACAGACTCTCCCGGAAGGTACTTTGCGGTGGGACTCACTAAAACCGAATAGAATCCGACATGGTCAACCAATGATCGCAAGCTCCTTGGAGTGGAAAAGACATTCTTGGAGACGAAAGGCTAAAAATGGTTCTTTATTCATTTTCGAGCAATAGAATATCTTCTTTGGCCCCAAATCGCGGAGACATTGTCGGACACTTTCTTCAGCTTGGCACCATTCTCACTCTTTCCTATGAGTACCTAGTACTCTATCAATGATACATGAAAAGATATAAATATCGGCTCCTACTCAAGCATTTCATTGCAATCCAATTCAGCATTTAAATCTCTTCAAAAGCCGAACAAGTCCGTGATCCAATCTTCTTGTTGGATATATATGTCACTTCATCGACTACGCGCACTTTCCCAATCATTCAGACCCATCATGGCCTCCCAATCCACCTTAGAATCACACGCGAAGGACTGGGAGAAGTTCTTCAAAGATGACAAGTTTGTCAAGCAGTACAAGACTGGCGAGCATGTAACTGGCCAATTTGCCAAATCCCTCATCGACCAAAGTGGCTTGGTCGCGAACTCCAAGGCCAACCCTGACTTGCCTCTGGTGGTGCTTGATAGTGCCTGTGGCACTGGGATTGTCTCGAGTATCCTGCAGCACGAACTAGAGGATCACGTCAAGAGTCGCTTGAAATTAATCTGTGGAGACATTTCGCAGGGCATGTTGGACTATGTTAACCATCGTGTTGGCAAGGAAAATTGGCAGAACGTTGAAGTCAAGACTGTTGATGTGCAAGACTCGGGGCTTCCCAGCTCATACTTTACGCATGTCATCGCTTCCTTTGGTGAGCAATACTTCTCCGTGCTGTCCACCCCCTTGTTCCACCGCTAACTTGGGATCTTGTACGACTAGTTTTCATGGCACTCCCTAAGTCACTGGATGCTCTTGACGGTCAGTGAAACGCATGGTCATGCCTTAAATTCTGTGGGATAAATACGAGGAGATCTACTAACCACAAACATAACAATAGATTGCACTCGAATTTTGCAACCAGGAGGTACCATTGCTTTCGCAACATGGATAGAGCGTGAGTAATCTCAATACTGGTAATGGCTGAAACATATTAACACGACAATAGCTGGCTGGGTCTCTGTCACGAAAAAGGCCATCGAGACCATTCCAGGGAACTTACCTTTCCCCACCCCGCAGGAATTCATCGAGTCCTTGAATACTGGCAAATGGAACTCCGTATCTTGGATTGAAACTCAATTGAAGGAGCGCGGCTTCGAAGATATCAACGTGCGCCCCGTCACCAAGTCCATCTCTATCATGGTCCCAGAATTCGTGGAAATGAACACGTTGATGCTTTCCATGGTGTCCAAGGTATTCTGGACAGAGAAACAGCGCGAGGAAGACACGGACAAGGTCCGCCCAGCGCTGGAGCGGTACCTGGAGACCACTTATGGAAAGGAAGGAGATATTCTGATGGAGTGGACGGCTATCATCTCTACGGCTCGCAAGCCAAATTAGCATATGATCACCACCAGGGCCGCGCTGGATGTATAGCTTCCAAATTGTGCGTTGAAATTCAAGACAACTTATGGTCACTGCTCCACCCGTAGAGTCTACATTCCAGGATCGGAGAAACGGACCAACTCGAATTGCTTGCCTTCTTCTCTTGGAAAATCAACATATCAAATCGCTTTCCTTGATGGCCCATGCATCTTCCGTTTCACATTTCCATGTATGATTGGTTAGATTACTTGAACGTTTGCCTCACTGTACTATTGAGATTGGACCGATAATAGCCTACGCCGAAGACAAATGAGATGAATGCAAGAATACTGGCAAGGTTATCCAGAGCACATGATTTGCAAAATTGTATCTTGGTCCCCCATAGAGCCCATGTAAATTCCCCAATAAATTCAACGCGCCCACTTCCCGAACTACACTGTACGGTTGGCCTCCCATTTGAGCAACGCGACAGAAAACCAAAATTTCCAAACGCCGTTGCCGGTCAACTAAATGACTGTCACCCTATACCGTTGCCCACTTTCGCCATCCTCAACTTATGAAGCATGGGTCTGGCCGACTGCAGCGCGGCTCATAGTACGGTTGGCGTCCAGTCGGTTATCCAAATCTTCGTATCGAAGGATAAACTCGCGCTATTAGACAAATTAGCGACTTTAATGAACTAGAAGGATCGGGGATATTCTCGTAGCCAGCACGCTTACCCGAATCTTCTTCCAGCTAGCATGGTCCCACAGAAGATACACTCCACGCTCGCTCACGCCACGTTCCACGTCAACAGGGCCTGGATACGTCTCGTCACGGGTCAACCAGCATCGCTCGAGCTTGTGGTACCGCCATTTGCGTCCCATCAACTCTTCCGCAACCAACTCCTGCATGATGTCTCGCGGCATGCTGTAGAAGATGTAGAATAGAGTCTCATCGCTGAACCCAGGAATTCTTGACGAAAGAGGTTGGATGTTGGCGACATTGTAACATGACGGGAGAGAGAAGTCCTGTTCTAAAGGAACGGCAGACATAGAGGACACGAAGGGCGACGCGAACGAAGTGTGAAGAGGCCTAGAGCACATGAAACGATTAGCGACGCTTTCCAAAGACGAGAAGGAAGGACGCATACTCGGGCTGATTCAAGTCCAAACCGAGTGTCATCAAGTCCTGTCCGACAGCGAGACTGGCCACGTCGGGGCTTTCGCTATGGATCATACGCAGGAGCCCGCTGAGCCCGAACCGGTCCAGCTCACTCATCTGGGCCAGAGGCGGTTGCTCCGCACTTTGAGCAGCCGCGGAAGCTTCTTGGCCCTCATTTGCCTGCTGTTGCCGCTGTTGCAATTGCTGTTGCGGGTCGCTAAAATTGCGCTGACCTGACATGAGGGTGTTGTTTAAGTCCTGTGTTGTTAGTGTCGGTGAGTGCGGGGCCAGAAGGCCGATCGCCAAACTACTTACTTCTTTCTCCTGCCCCAACGCCCCATTAGGCCCTTGATTGACTGGCGACCGTGATGTGCCAATACCTGATCAATCGTTGTTAGCCACTCATGACGCTATTCAATCCTTACTGCACACTACTAGAGTATGCCACGGGGCGTACCGGAATTGTAAGTGCCAAAGCCCGCACCTTGCATCAAGGAAGTCCGACGTTCCTGAGCCAGCTCAGCAGCTACATTGCCAACATTGCCCACATTGCGCCCTAGAGGTGGAAATTCGTCGATGTTGCCTGTTTGAGGCTGACTTCCAGCCCCGATCTGGCTGCTGATTCCTTGTCCTCCGTTCCTGAAATCGTCCAATCGGTTCGCAAATTGAGCACCGGAAGGGAACATATCATCGTGGGGAGGCTGGGACGGTTGCTGTACGGGAAGCTGTTGGGTCTGAGAAGCTCGTGAAGGGGGTTGCGACGTCGGAGGATGCTGTTGTCTCTGGACGGGGGTATGTTGCGCCGCTCGTTGACTCGCATTGGCCCACACAGGGTTCTGGGATTGTGATTGCTGCGATGCGCCAGAAAGAGAAGGGAACTCGCTAGAAAGTCTCGCGACCGTTAGTCCTCGAGACGTTTTGTGAACCTTGAATGAACTCGGTCGACGGCAAAGCGCATGCAGTGACAGGTCCAAGCCTTGGAGGGCAACGACTTACGAGAGATCTAGTGCTGTCGTTGGTTGCGAACCGCCCAGACTTTGTGCAAAGCTGCCCATAGTACCCATGGTGCGTTGCTGATTGCTTTGAAGAGTTGATGCTCCGGGAAGATTGAAGTTCCAATTAGCTGCGCCACCTAGATGATAGCCCACCCACAGTTATCAGCAGCCGCCCGCATTTTGTATCATATTTCCCCTCAGAGGGACTAAGGGTAAGTAGATCGTACCGATTTTCCCGTTAGGCAATCGTGCTGTAGCCAATGTCGCATTTCGAGCTTGTGCTTGCTGTGGCGCGGGGAATCCGGACATGCCTCGTAACGGCTGAGGCCCTGGTCCTAATACAGAAACACAAGCAGTCAGCATGATCTCCGCTGTCTCAAATCAAAGCACCCTGTTGCGGTCCAAGTCAGGAATGTGTCGGGTAACACTTCCAAATGTCTCGGTCGCAAATGGGCGAAAATAGAGGAATCATCTGCACCCCGGCTGCCATTGCAGCACGATCTCCTCTCATCTTCTGGTTCTGCGCCCTCACCCCCCGAAGTTGTTCTAGCCAAGGAGAGACCACTGGGTAGAATCACTGGAATTACCTTTAGGGCGAGGGCAAGTGGGATGTGGGTTTCGGAGGGACAAAGAAGAAATAACCCACCTGGCCTATTCATAGTTGGCGTTCGGGATCAACAGGTAGGAGATGATAATTCAGAGGCTGTCTGAGACCAGCAAAGGCCCTGTTGAACGCTCTTGATGCGGCACTTACCGCCTGGAGGTGAAGTGAAATTGATTGGGCGATTAGCCGCGGATAAGGTAAAGGTGGCGGCGCTTGATGTCCAGCGGCTGGAAAATGATTTCAGTCTGATAGCGTCTCGGCATACCTTATAGATCGAGTCTATAAAGCTCGAGGATGCCGCTCACGGTCTAATTCGTGTGCTTCGTCCATTTAATAATAATGACGATCTTAATATCCCCATTCCCACTAATAAGTAGCCTATTCATATCACCGAGTAGGTCATTGTAAGACTCGCTCTATCCTACCTCCACGGTAACTCAAGGAAGAAGCTAGGAGGGGCTACGGAAGAGCGCATCTGGCTGCTTTCGAAGTCCGTGGTATGGACCACTTATTCATATTATTAAGTAAGTTAATATAAGCTAGTCAGGCGATAATTAAGCAGGTATGTATCCCATTAATGCTAAATTGTCCCTAGCGACATACCGTAGTAGGCGAATATTAAAGGGAAAGGCTTCATTGGGATTCCGACCGGCCGGGACAGAGTAGAGGTCACGTCGTTGAATGTTCAGCGGCTGAAGAGGATCGCCGGTGGGCATAGGGAAAATGGTTTCACTCTGACGGCGTCTCGGCATACCTTGTGAATCGAGTCTATAAAGCTCTAGGATACCGCTCACAGTCTGATTCGTGTGCTTCGTCCATTTAATAATAATGACGATCTTAATATCCCTATTCCCACCGATAAGTAGCCTGTTCATATCATCGAGTAGGTCATTATAAGACTCGCTCCATCCTACGTCTATAGCAACTCTAGGAAGAGGCTGGGAGGGGGTACGGAAGAGCGTATCTGGCTGCTTTCGAAGTCCGCAGTATAGACCACTTATAAAGTTAACGTCTAAAGTGACTTAAATTAGCTTAAGTTATGAGCGGAGTGATAGATAGGAACTCACCTGTACCATACTTAAGACGAATTTGCAAATGCTCGGGAGGGATTATGAACTGTGATATACCGGCTTCGACCATAGAGAGGCTTAACCATTCATAGACGCAATCGTGGATCTCACTTGGCATGATTTTGAGTCGCAATGTACGGATCTTTGGGTTGTAGGATTTTCGAATGTGAGGGAGATTTTCCTCGAACTCCCAGAGAAATTTCTCCCAGCCAAGGGGTAGATCGGTAATAATAAGCTCGTGGAAGCCTTGAACTTGGAGCAGAGTCTCGCGAATAGCGTCTTCGAACTGGGACTGTATCTTGAATTGATTTGCGGATACCCGAGTCCGAGACGAGTCGGACGAGGGATTCAGCGGAATGGCAGACATGATGATGATGGTCAAGAGACAAGGTGGGACGTGTAGAGAAAGAGCGAAGAGTAGCAGAGAGGAACACTATGTAATAGAGAAGGAGCCGCCAGGCGCGCACGTGACCAACCGCCTGCGAGCCCCGAAAAAAAGCAGGCTAAACACAGTGTTTCCAACGACCGAACTACTTCCAATACCGACACAATCACAATGCATTGGCCGGCAGTCGCTCGTTTGGTCCAACATGGGAGTATGGCTATGGCCGAGTTGCCTCCGCCATATTTGGCGCCCTCTCTCCATTTTACGATGACCCGATCCCCCGTTCAGACCTCGAGCTTCTCTACGACATCCGCCGTCGCCGCTGGCCGTGGACGCGACATGAACAGGACTCGCGGCGTGTCAGCAATCCACCGGACGGGTACACGATTCAAACTGAGCGCCTCAAAGTACCCATTGCCCAAACCTGTGTCGGCCGACCAGATGAAGGCGCGGCCTGCGACCCCCAACCACGGCCTCTGGGGTTTTTTCCCACCTTCACACGAGGCACTGAGCACCACTGAATACGATGCTGCTTTTGGTAAGTCACGGTCACTTGTCATTTCTCTATACCCTCCTATATGCGGGCGAAACCCCGCTCATCATTCTTGAATAGGACGCCCGTGGTCAGTGCAAGAGCTGCGAAACAAGAGCTGGGATGACCTTCATAAGCTGTGGTGGGTGTGCGTCAAGGAGCGCAACCGCATCGCTACCTCAAACCTGGAGCGATCACGACTGAAGGCTGGATTTGGTGACCACGAGTCCAACCAGCGCGATGATGCGGTAAGCCCAATATATCCATTATACCCTTTCTGGTGACCTGTCCAAGCAACAGCACGTTCTTGGGCTATGAGCAAGCATCTCACCAGCATGCTACATGTTCCTTGGTCCATTCTCTTCCGTCGAACCATTGGCTAACGCTTGTTGTTCTCTCAGATCGTTGTCACTCAGAAGACCATCAAGCATGTTCTCCGTGAGCGCTATTATGCCTGGGAAGAAGCCAACCGCCTTTACGCCAAGGGCTACCGCCCACAGGACCAAGACACCATGGAGGAGGCTGCTACGGAAGAGCTGGCTCCCGCTGAGGACCCCTTTAAGGAGGATGCTGTGAAGGAGACCAAGCTGTGACCGCGGTAGCCCTCGAAAAGATTGGGTGAAAAGAAGGTCATCAGCACATATATTGTAGCATTAGATTCTTTGCTTTCGTATTCTTTCTTCAGCTCTATTGCGTGTAAATTATGAATTGTTATTTGTCTGGAATATCAACCCCATGCCCCCCTATTTTGCGGAGTACAGTAGAATGAGCTCCCACGATGATATAATCAACCCGAGCGATTTCAGGGGTTGATGAACGTATGATTTTGTAGAAATCTGCCTTAAAAGAATAGGGGCAAGCATGGTCCTCTTACAGTATAGGCAGCTCTAGATTCAAGCTGTTGGAAAAATCCCGACCAGGTGGGCGGTGGTCACTAACTCACTAGTGGCGGGCCCGTCAAATAGTCCCCTTCTTACCGCTTCGTGGATCCGCGGGGACAGGATACCAGGAGAACCTTCTTTCTCACTTTCACTTTCGCCTTCAGTTTATCCCTTCCTCTTACCGTATTATCATCTGTATTACTCCTTCATCTTTTCGTATCCACCATGGATGAGATCGCGCCCGAGTACGATGTCGTGGTGCTCGGCACTGGTGAGTCGTTGCCTACCCCGCCATTCTTCCGTGCCATGATTGACCTCGTTCCTCTTAGGCTTGACCGAGTGCGTTTTGTCTGGGTAAGTATCGCTCTACAGGTCCAAAGATAGATCAGATTTGTGGCTGAATGCTAATTCATCTTTCTCATTACAGTGTTCTCAGTGTCAAGGGCAACAAGGTCCTGCACATCGACCGCAATGACCACTACGGAGGGTGAGTTGACAAATGGAGCTCCCCAACAACGCCACATCCCAAATCAGCTAACAATGACCTTAGAGAGGCGGCTTCCGTCAACATTGAGACTGTATGCAAACTTCATTGGTTGGTTATGTCATCTGCTGACCTCTCCTGCAGCTCTTCAAGAAGTACGGCAACGTCCCCGCTGGCGAGGAACCCTGGAAGAAGTATGGAAGAGCCAACGATTGGAACATCGACCTGGTTCCCAAGCTGTTGATGGCAAATGGCGAGTTGACAAATATTTTGGTCTCCACCGATGTGACGAGATACCTTGAGTTCAAGCAGATCGCGGGCAGCTATGTCCAGCAAGGCAAGGGTTCCAAGGCGACCGTGGCCAAGGTGCCGTCGGACGCCGGCGAGGCTCTGCGCTCATCTCTGATGGGTCTGTTTGAGAAGCGCCGTGCGAAGAAGTTCCTGGAGTGGGTCGGCGATTTCAACAAGGAGAACCCCTCGAGTCACCAGGGTGCGATAAATATCTGGCTACGAGCTTGGGTGAGAAATGATGGCTAACTGGGAATAGGTCTTAACGTCCATACCTGCACCATGAAGGAGGTGTATGACAAGTTCGGCCTCGAGGACAACACCCGTGATTTCGTTGGTCACTCCATGGCCCTTTACCCCTCCGACGAATACGTCAACAAGCCCGGCGCTGCCATCGAGACTATTGACCGCATCCGCCTCTACGTCAACTCCATGGCCCGTTACGGCAAGTCGCCTTACATCTATCCTCTGTATGGCCTGGGCGAGCTCCCCCAGGGCTTCGCTCGTCTGTCTGCCATCTACGGCGGTACTTACATGTTGAACACCGATGTCGATGAGGTGCTCTATGACGAGAGTGGCAAGGTCTCCGGTATTAAGGCCACCATGAAGGATCGTGATGACCAGACTGCGACTATGAAGTTCGAGACCAAGACGAAGAAGATCATTGCCGATCCTTCCTACTTCCCCAACAAGGTCAAGGTCTCCGGCTATCTGCTCAAGGCCATCTGTATCCTGAAGCACCCTATCGACAAAACCGATGGCAGTGACTCGCTGCAACTGATCATTCCCCAGTCTCAGATCGGACGTAAGCACGGTAAGTGACGCTGCGCTAATGCCAATCCGATCTTTGAACGACTGCTGATGTTTTTCGCCAGATATCTATATTGCTATGGTCTCGTCCGCACATAACGTCTGCCCCAAGGGTTACTACATCGCCATCGTTTCAACCATTGCTGAGAACGATGCTAACCACCACCTGGAGCTCGAGCCTGGCTTTGAGCGCCTGGGTGCGATCGAAGAGAAGTTCATGGGTCCTCCTATCCCCATCTATGAGCCTCTGGAGAGCGGCGAGAAGGACAACGTCTTCATTTCCAAGAGCTACGACTCGACATCGCACTTCGAGACCACCACCCGTAAGTGATCTGATCCTATAATTCAGAATACTTTCCATATGCTAACCGAACCTTCTTACAAGTCGATATTCGGGATGTGTACCAGCGTGCCGCTGGTGAGGAGCTGAAGGTTGAGGGTCTGCGGGAGGGTCAGCAGCTTGCTCAGGAGTAGAAGGAAAGGGGGTAAATGCTATGGGATGATCTATGTATCATTTCTTAGATGCTGGTTTGACTATATTTCTCTTGGACATGCTTGATGCTCTCTGTTTCTTTTCTCTTTCCGATCGCACCGAGAGACTGTAGCAAGTGCAATATACCTGCCTGTCTCTATCATTCAGTTCGTACTGCAAAATACAATGTACATGGAAGTTAAGTTGGGACCATCCTTGACACGCGGCACAGACCGGGCGTGATCTCTATATACAAGTGTAGTTGATAAGCGCAGTGTACACCCTCCTTATCACTTAAGCAATGCCCTCTTGCTGCTAGCATCTATTTAGTCTCTACCAACAGATATCTCCCCGCACCTAGATCCTCTGGTTCACCTCAGGATCCGTATTGGCCTTCTCATGTTCTCCAACCACACACACATCGCCGTTATCCGCCTTTTGAATCTCCGCCCTTAGCAGCGCAAGCCGCTTACCGACGTGGATGATTTCACATACAATACGCGCCTCTGTTCCTGTTGGTACGGGACGCAAGTACGTCACCTTGAGGTTACGACTCACGCCGCCGAGCGAGAACTTGCCGGGCTCGGAGACGCCTAGCAGGATGGTGGTTGATAGGACGTCGATGAGGGTGGCTGCACATCCGCCGTGCAGATTGCCCAAGTAGTTACTGAGAGCCGGGGTGATGTTCAATAGGAAGGAGACTCTGGCTGGGGGCCCGCGGGTTGCGGACTCGAAGCGGAGGTCGCAGTCGCGGGCGTTGACATCCCAGTGCTGGACGATGTTAGTTCACAGGTTCTTGCATGATGCATTAAGACGTCAAAGAGAGACATGAGGTAATTGCGCCAGCTCTTTGGGGGTATGCGATGTTGCTGACGGACCTCTTCATTGCCCAAACCCATGCGACTGGTATACTCGTAGACGAGCTCCTCGAACTCGTCCAGCTTCCGAGCTGGCGCCCTGATTCCTTCGTCTGACATTACGTGTATAAAGAAGATGATCGTGAAAAGGAGAAAGGCTCGGGGAAAAGAGTATATCGCAAGGTCTCTGCACAGGGAAGTCGTGAATTTCCAGAAAGTTGCTCGGAGCTCCTGCCGACTGGCACATCACATCAGCTCGGAGTAAGTTGAACCTCGGCTGATGGGAGCCGATACAGGGTCCGACGTGGCTTGCATTCTTTGCTAGTCGAGCATTCGGTCTAGCGAATGTAATCCAGCCCGATTCTATATGCCGGTCTCGAGAGAGGGACCGTCCCTGATATGGACTCTTTATTCCGTAGATGGAGTTCTTTTGATCTTGATTGTATGGTGGGATGCTTCGGCGGCCATTTCAGAGCCGAGTGCATCACTCATTTTCACAACAGATCCTTCCAAGTTTACTTATTTTCCAAGCTCATGACTACGACGATCAACTGTACTGCAAATGCCCTGCTATCAAATGCACAGCAAGGGTGGTTGTTGGTGCTCCCTTGCGCACCTGACTTCGCGTCACGAGTGGAGGCCTGAGGCGCGAAACGGAGATGCTCGATTTGTTGCCGAACCATCAACAGTCTTGCCAATTCTGCGATTAAACCTGCCACTTGGTGTCGCCATTCTTTGTCGCATGAGCAAGAGGTCCTTTTGTGCTGATCTATAGACTCTTACTGTCAAGTTCGCATTCCTCCGCCCCCAGAGCAGCGTAAGGTGCTTCATCACTCTCCCTGGCTCAGCATGCTTGTCGGTACACGCTACTAATTAAAGAGTTGCCAATTGACACTGAACGGAGCCACGGTCGCAAACCAAACGATCGCTTCGTTCAATCGCACTGTCCACAAATCTCCTCCGTCCTGTTACTCTGTCCTCCGATAGTCCTTTGCACCGCCGACCACCGCCCAACGATGAAAGACCCACGAGCCTCGAAGCGGAGGAGAGTCTCCGAAGAGCCTGCACATGATGACGACGGAGATATCGCTATGGAGAGTGATGGCGATGCCTTTTCAGCCCCGTCCTCCCCCGAGCTCGATGCAGACTCCGACGAAGATCAGGACTACCGCGGCCCCAGGAGACAAGCCTCGCGACGTCAATCCACTCGTGGTAGAAATAGCAACGTGCCTAATGGCTTGGAAGAGGACGCTGTGGAGACACCAAGGAGTACACGGACAAGTGGACGGCAGCGCAAAGCACCGCAGAGACTCGAAGATGCCCTGACGCCATCCTCAACGCGGAAAACAGCCGTGACACATCGAAGTGCTCGAGGGACGAGGAGCGTGCGGAAGCCGAGACAAGAGTCTGTGGAGGATGTTGAAATGGACGTGGATGAAGAGTCCCCGAAGCCGACTGGAGCAATCTCTAGGACAAGGTCCCGAAGGAGTACGGCTAAACCTAGGTCATATGGCGCCAACGGGAACACCGCTGGAGAGGCGGATAGAGAGCTCTCTCCTTCGCTTGAAGGGTACAGTGATGGTCTTGACGACCTGGTTGCAATGCAACTCCAACAAGGCCTTCACGACAATGAGAAACCGCAAGAGGCCGTAGAAACGGTCGAGCCTCTCCCGGATTATGCGGAGAAGCTACAGACACTCTGCCAATGTGGGTTGCAAGATGAAGTCCGTGTCCTGACGACTGCACTGCTAGAGAAGCTATCCAGCAAAAGGCAAATCCCACTCAAAGGGCTGGAGAGCGAGTATACAAAGGTCAACCACTTGGTTGAGCAGACTGTCACGGTTGGCGAGGGTAACTCGATGCTCCTTCTCGGGTCGCGCGGCTCTGGCAAGACGGCAGTCGTGGAGACGATCATTTCGTCTCTCGCAAAGGAACATGGCAATGACTTCCATGTCGTTCGACTGAATGGTTTCCTCCACACGGATGACCGTCTTGCTCTCCGAGAGATGTGGCGCCAGCTTGGCCGTGAGACCCATACTGAGGATGACGCAGCGAAGGTCAGCTCATATGCCGACACCATGGCTACCTTGCTAGCCTTGTTGTCTCATCCCGAGGAGCTGTTCGGTGCGGGAGATGGGAGCAATGTGACCGCAGCCAAGTCTGTTGTTATTCTTCTGGATGAGTTTGACCTCTTTGTGACCCACCCTCGACAGACTTTGCTGTATAATCTGTTTGATATTGCCCAAGCCCGAAAGGCACCTATCGCGGTCATCGGGCTTACTACCAAGGTCGACGTGACTGAGATGTTGGAGAAGCGTGTCAAGAGTCGTTTCAGTCATCGATATGTCTACATTCCGCTTCCCAGGACATATGAGACCTTCTCGGAGATTTGTATGGCTAGCTTGGATCTCGACGAGAATGAAGTTGAGGAGCTTGCTGCTGGGCTTGGGTCTGAGCAAAGTATCGTAAAAACCGCTGGTTGGAATACGCTTCTCGAGGGGTGGAAGGAATACTTGCAGGTAAGCACAATTGATGGATTTGTAAACCCAGCACCAGCTTATTGACTCAATCTACTATCAGAACCTTTTCAATGACGAGGACTTCCAATTCCACCTAAAGAAGATCTACCACCAGACCAAATCTGTAAAGGAATTCCTCACGAGCGCGCTCCTCCCTATCAGCGAGCTCAACCTCAGCGCCCAGGCCGCCGACAAACCCACCTTCCAGATCGCAACACCTAAGAGCTTCGCCTCTCAGTCCCTCATCTGCCTCGATCCAGCGCCTCTTCCGTTCTCAACTACCACGACCGCATCCTTCAGTCCTTCATCTCTCCCCCTCGCCCTCCTCCTAGCGGCTGCTCGCCTTTCTGCTCTCTTCGACCCAAGCAACGACGGCGTCCAGGCTCAGAGCATCGCTCCATTGGCTCTTTCCTTCCCCGCCGCGTATGCAGAGTACGTACGCCTACTTACTTCTGCAAAGACATCCGCTTCGATCTCCGGCGCGGCAGCCACGCCTGGCCGTGTTTGGGGCCGAGATGTGGCGCGGGAGTCTTGGGAGAAGCTGGTCACTTGGGGCCTTGTTACGCCAGTTGGTAGTGGCAATGGTACTGCAGATGGACAGATGTTCCGTGTAGAGATTAGCTTCGAGGAGGTTGTTGAGATGGCCGGTACGGGGAGCTCTTTGGGTCAGTGGTGGAGGGAGTGAGGATGGTTTGTTCTGTTTATGCATTGGTTATGGCGGCATTGAACAGGATTCGTTGTTGGTTCTAGTGATTGTATCATCTGCACTACACTGCATGCTACGAGAGATATGATCAGAAACGCATCTCTACCTGCAAACAGCGGGCCTCATTTCATCTTCCTGATATCGAATGTAGTCCAGTAACAACGATCTATGTACTAGATTACATTGACTTCAGAATGAGCATTCTCAATACGGTACTATATCCCGCCAATAGCGTTGGAAAGTATATTCGGAATGCCCCGATGCTGCCACGACCATGCAAGCTTCAACGCCCAAGAGGACCTAACACAAGCCTCGCATCGATCCCATCAAGTTTTAGATTATCATTTCCCGATCTGATCCCGTTATGATATGTCACAAAAGCATGGCAGCCACTCATACTGCGGATCACCATTTTCCCCACCTCCATCCAAGCAATGTACGGAGTACATAGAATGTTATGCTTTATATATGAGCTCTGTGTCTGAGACCATCGGCGGTCTTTTCCTGGAAAATGAACTTTTAGTCAAGAAGTAATGTCCAAGGATTGGCCTTGATGACAAGATCATTGAGCCGATCGAGTGATGCCTTGCCTTTTATGCATCTTGCCGTTGGTGTGTACAGGTACGTACGGGGTCTAGTGTCAAAGGTGAATACGAAAATGTCAGTGCAAAGATTGTAATCTATAGGCTCAAACTAAATTTCGATAATTTAATTCAGCTAGCCATTGTAGATCGATAGTTATGGCCATGACTTTGCTCTGCCATTGGCACCAGAGTTGTCAGAGCAAGCGCCACGGCGATCCTGTGGCACAACCTCACACAGACAAGGCAACGAAGCAAACATGAGAAGGTTTCTAGAAGTTGTGTACAGTCGAGTCTAAAACAGGTCAATTTTTCAAAATAAAGAATAACCAAAGGAAACAAACTAAATGGAAATCATATGCACCCAACCATCCCCGGCATTCCCATACTTGGTCCTTCTCACCGGAAGTGATATACGGCCAAGCCAACAGTCCTTATTCCAAATCCGCCAGGGTCTTCCATGCAGAATTCTCAACAAAAGCAAAGAAAAAGGAAATCCAAAAGCCTAGCTACCGACAGCTGCCCAGAACCCTTACAGTACACACATGCCCTCACCCCTTCGCCACAGTATAACCCAAGCTGTTGATTGGTCAAGGTGCACGCGACATGCATGCGTGCTGCCCAGACCATGTGTCAAAAGTGACATGTCGCAGCTTCCTCTCCAATTATTACCCGGAAACGGGTAACGAGAGGCTGAGCTAATGCACAGGGGGTGGCCCTTCACTCATATGAGGGAGCCGACATGAATAGGACTACTCGGTCTTTGAAATAATATATATTATCCTGGGGTGCTTGCGTGGGTCAATGGGCAGGAGGCGGCAGCAGATGCAGCAGTATGAGCATGAGAATGAGCATATTACGCTACATACAGGACCCCGAAGGCTGGGGTACCATGCAAAAAATGCAACATCGCTCATGTGGACTCGGGTTGAGTGGTGTGGAGAAGCGGAGTCCTTTCAAGACTAGAAAAGTACCAGATGGGGTATCGCCATTCAGTAATGTAAGTGCCTAAACTCCAAATCTATTCCGCTCGTCATTAGGATTGTCTGATGCCGTAGTCATAAGATATGTGATTTTACCTTTTTCCCGGCTTGCCACAACTCAGAGTGTTAATTAGCGTTCAAAGTACAGTAACATGCACCTAACATCTAGTGCTACGCATGATCGGCCCGTGGGGCGGGTGGTATTTCCTGAGGTCATTATTTGGGGGGTGGGAGAACGTTAGTGTGATTTCATGAAGGAAAATGGAGCCCGGGCAGGCGCATTACGCTATCCACCATACTGAATAGAGTAGCTTCGGCGCAGAAGGTGGCTATGTATTCGAGGGTCATACAGAGTAATGGCATTCTCTCCAATTCCGCACCAGCAGATCATATCCGCTAGTCCTACTCGGAATCTCTTGTCTACCTGCGGACAACGCGGCAACTCCACACTTCTGCATGACCGTGCTTAGCGTAGATAGTTAGCTTCTGCCGTGAAGCAACCAACCTCGGGTGGCAATTTCTCAATGGGGGCGGGCCTTTAGCATGGTTTCCGGTTCCGATGTTGTGAATCCATCCAACCCATGGACATACTGCCTGCAGATCTATAGTTTGGCTCCTACCAACTACTAGCATCCTGGCCTCCGGGTGACGCTGTGTCTTCGGAAAATGATTGGGTTGATAACTTCAGAGTCGAGATACATAAGAAGAGTGTTCAATTGTTTGTATAGCCTAGAACAGCCCCTGTGTCCCCATAACCCTTGTTTATACGTATGCTAGAAGACCGTGTTCGAGCTCTTGGGAACGGGACTGGATAGTCACCGTAAACTCCGCAACTAAGTACTCGGGGACGCACGGTTGAGATTGCAGTTTCAACTCCTTTCTTTGGGTTATAGGGGGCATGGGGTTGACCCTGCAGATCGAGAATTGAACTGACCATAATGAGATACACACGTAGGCCGATAGATGCAGAACATAATCAATATGACTCCAATTCCCCAATTTTCGGACACACCAATCAATCACCTTGCTCTAGATTCGACAGCACATGGGACATGATGCGTAATGCCGCATGCTTCCGAGGGGCTATGATAGAGTACGTAGACGGCTAAACGGGATCTCACACCTGACTACGGAAAACGCGGAGAGCTATCTAGCCGTGCTTGTCTCGTGGTAACTTGCATTAGCTAGTAAGCTAGAGGGCTGGTATAGTAAAGTATATCTTCAGAGCCTAACGTGCCAAGGTCTTATTCTGCAGTGTACCCAGGCTCGGGGAGAAGCGGATGGAACACAGCGCTTTCATGGTCAGGTAAGCGGAATTCGTGATGACCATGATAATTGTTACTCTGCATTGAGTTTTCGGATACAATAACCTCTATGTCCAGACTCATACTCCATCGCTATGATAAGAATATCCTAATGATAGCAAGAGCAGGGCGGCGGTCACCGGTTTCGATCGCTGCCGGCTCTAGGGGCACTAGTCAATTAGTCCGTCACCCCGCTTCTGCCGTTGCAGATGAGTACGCTTGGTGTTTCGTTCTCGTTTTTGTGACCGGGAAGTAACTCTTCCTGCCGGGAACCATTTCAGGATACTTGGTATCTGTGGAGGTAGTTGATAGATGATGGTTGGCTCAATCGTAGTGTAGTGATCGTCTCGTTTCTACTGCCCGGTCAGGCAGCCCCCGTTGGCACGGACGGGATGGGCACACATCCCCCACACCGAGGCGGGATGAAGATAGGTCTACGGGGTCGATGGGGTCGTCAGGAGGGCCATGTCAGACTCGGAGAATTATCGTATGTCCGAATGGCCGACTAGCCTTCGCATCACCGCTTCTTGGGTGAAGGAGCATTCCTATGCAGCTAAGTCCGGGTCCACAAGCGAACCTTCTTTGCTACATTTAGATGGACTGGCTGGTTGAGCTCGGATCAGTGCCTCGGCCGAGCCAGCGTGTCACGACGATCACTACGAACCCGTTATACTCGCACTATCTCCGCTGTTGTGCAGGTATGGGCGAGTCCATTCGGATGACTTTAGCAGCGTGGCAAGTTTAGCGAACTGTAGTATACATTCATGCGTATACACGTGCCTCACTGACAAGGAGCTTGATAAGGGACTCTCGAAGAAGAGCAGCTCATTGTTCTTATCATAGCGTTTTTGAAGGACAAGATGCTAAGCAAGACATTCCTCCTAATCTGCAGACTGAGTTGAAGTGTCTAAGTCCAAAAATCATGACCAAAATGGATAAGTAGACGAGTTGTTCGGCCGGAAGTGGGGAGTGTTTCATTCATAGAAGAATCATCCGATACAGACAGAAATGTGAAGTCCAATTTCCCGTACGTTTGACCGTGTGATATCTGCGAGTCCTCACTCTGAACTCTATCATGCGAGATAGACCATATTCTCACTCCGATTGCGGCTATGGTTGTAGCCCCAAGAAAAAGTAGGATTTTGAGCCTGTCCACTAGTTGGGACGGTCCGGCATCAGCCTGCAGACGCTGCAGCTGCGAAACACCGAGTCGAGAGCCATTGCCCAATCACTTGATTCGCACCCAAGATGAGAATATCTGTAAAGAATCTAAACCACCTATCGATCGCTAGTAGTGGTCCGATGCATATGCACCTTGACGATGTAGTCAACAATGAACGCTCGAACCGAGGAGCACTAACGTGCGAGAAGGATTAGCATTTCACAGGCCACATGGATAGCCGACAGGTCCACTCCCATGGCCGCAAGTCATACTGTAGTCACTTAGTTTATTAATACTTTCTTCGAAGCACCACTAGCTAGTACAAAGCTACAGTACGGGAATAATCAGCTCCTTGGGTGTGCCGCCAAATTAAAATGCATGATACACATTGTACTCGTCCAGTGGCATAAGTACATTCGCACCTAAACATGGTCTGATAGCGGAATTTCGTACCGTCGATCCGCCTGTCCGAAAAAAATCATCTACTTCGGAGAACTTCGGTGCTACGTCAGTATTGTACATTTAATGCTCCGTAATTTGTCCCATCCTAATTTCTGGGCGCAGATCATCTGCCACGTGGACTGAAAGCCCTTCCTCCCGTTGTGGCCCCTTCTGCCGTGTATGTAATGGACAAAGTTCACCGTACGAACGAACGTTCTGCTGTGGAGTCACCGGCTAATGTTTGTCGACACGATAGTCTTGCGAGGGAAACGTGGTACAAGATCACTAGTCCACAATAATCCTGAATTATGGGCGGTGGCTTCGTGGCAGAAGATATCAATTATAGCGGAGACCAAAAAAAATTGCATCATCGGAGTTGCCAGCGGCTTTTCCGGCGGGAACCAAACAGTGCCATACACTGCAGTCCAATATTTCAGTCGTCGAGGTCGATCTCGCATTTCTAAATTTTTTTCTCCGAAGGGCGCGAAGGCTCCACTAGCTTGCCGAGACCAGTAATGAATTGACGAAGTCTTCCTGCGTCTGACTACGTACTATACATGCAGGATTGACTCGCTATTCATTCAATTGAAGCTAAAATGAGATGGTAGGATAATCAACCATTGTGCGATAGGTAATATACGTGCAATAGACACCTGCAATGCTTAGATAACTCTGCCAAGCCAACTTTGATTGCAAACCCAAACATCAGCGCTAGGAACCGACAGCATAAAGTCCTGAATTGGTCGATCAACCATTTAGTAGAACGCTTAGCGAAGGATAGCTTATATTTCATGAGTGGACGATATCCTTACAATCCCCATCTAATGTCTAATCTCGGATCGCCCAAGATCCCTGTACACGCGTGACTCTTTCCATAAATCCTATTGTCTGATATCGACATTTGTCCTACAGTCCGACGCA